TAAGGAATATTAAATTGTAATATCAATAGTTGAATAGAGTCGATAAGAAGATGTGGCAACTCGGTCTAAAAATATTTAAGATATCTTTCTGCAAGTATAGCAACGAATATATTTCTCGACCGTGAACTAATTTTCACTTTAAGATGACCAATTAGGAGCGTACTAATGTGCACAACGCCTCGTAACGTGTCGTATGAATGCATTACGCGATGCAATTAAAACTCGAGTAGCACGAATGTGGTGCAGAGAGAATCTTTTCAACACATATATATATATAGTATGTTCAATAAATAAGGGGACTTTTAAGATATAGAATAAAACACGTATCGTACTATGTTTGAAAGTTATTTTTTATTCGAAATAGTCTCCATTTAACTCAATACAACGTTTAGAACGATCAACCAATTTATGCATAGACTCTTTCATGTCATCTAAAGGAATGTTCTTTAACACCTGTGTCACGGCTGCTTGAATGGCTGGAATATCATCGTAAAACGCTCCTTTCAGTTTAGCAGTTTGGCAGTTTTCAGTTTAGGGAACAGAAAATAGTCGCATGGTGATAGATCAGGAGAATACGGAGGGTGGTCGATGACACAAATCTGTTTTTTCATCAAAATTTCACGAACTTTTTTGGTTTTGTGAGGTAGTGCATTATCAATAAAAACAGCAGTTTCCCCTCTGGATTCAGGTCTAACACGAACAATTCTTGACCACAAACGATGTAAAACTTGTAAATAGTATTCTCCATTAACAGTTTGACAACAACAGCAATGATTTCGCGGACTTTTTCCACCAATTCAGCACGATTACTTCCTTCTGGACGACCAGGTCTTTCATCATCATTCAAATCTTCACGACCATTTTTAAATCGTTTAAACCACTTATGAACTTTTGAACGAGCTAAACAATCATCACCATACACTTTTTGCATCAATTCGTACGTCTCACTAAATGTTTTTCCAAGTTTAAAACAAAATTTAATATTTCCATTGTATTTTTACGACACAAGCACAAAACATACTGTCATTAAAAAGCGCGTAACTTTTTAACCTGTCAACCGATTTACATGAAGTTGGCTGCGTTTGAAAGGTGAGACCTGTACCTTTCTAATGCTATCAACGTTCAATAGATGGCGTTACGTGTTCCATGATTTAAATAAAAAGTCCCCTTATTTATTGAACATACTTATATATATATATAAGGTGCACCGAGAGAAAGATATATTATGCAAACCAGCTATGTGAAAAATCATACAATTTTTTGCTAATAAGAGCAGCATATATGTATGTTTATATAAAATATATATATATACATGAGAAAAGAATGTAATAATAGAAAATAGAATTGTGATAAATTTTAACAATTAAATATGCAAAAATAAATTAATTTGATTCAAGATGTAATTATCAAAACGTTTAAGGCCGATAATTAAAAGTTTATCATATCTACAAGCCTCATCATACAGGCGTATGGCTTAATTTATAAATTCATCCTGATTGTTATTTTCTGAATCTCCCTATAAAGACTTACAATTAATAATGCATATGCATACTTTTATAATATGTCGTACAGATGCATTACGCGGCCAATTAAAACTCGAGACAGCCCGCGGAATTTTTCGCGCGCCAACAACTCGTTTGAGAGAACATCTAAAAGATCTTTATTTACCCACGCGCAAGTAGTTATATCTTGAAAAGCGGATAAGCTAAGAAAATGAATAAGAGTTAGGAACTATACAAGGAAGTTATAATAGTTAGAGTGATTTTTCGTTTACAAATGCGTACTCTTTAGGTATGCTCTAATAAGCATTTTCGCAGAAACTATTAAAACCACAAGAGCTATATACAGAATGTCTTTAAACTGTTGCACTTTTCTTCAATTCTATTAATAAAAACTGTAGTGAAATTAATTTAGTCTAAACAAAAAATTGATAAATAATTTCTTGAAATTATTATAATTTATTGGAATTTTCAAACTTTAATTTTTAACACAAATAATAGATTATATATTGTCACATCAATTTTAGTTTGTAAACTTTTATTGTATTATTTTTATATAATATATATTTAAAAATATACAAATTGGGGTGAATAAATTCGAAGGCATTGAAATAATTTTCGGAGTAGGTACTCTCTATTATATATTTATAAAATTTAATTGTATATGTAGAATATTGATAAACAAAAAAATATAAAAGCAAAAATCTCAAGTCAAGAATATATTTTATTATATATATAATAAAATATTCTCTCTTGATTTGAGATTTCTGCTTTTCATATTTTTTTGTTTATCAATATTTTACATATAATTAAATTTTATAAATATATAAAGTACAAAAATTATTTTAATGCCTTAAAAATCTATTCGTCAATTTGTATTTCGGGATTGGATACGATTGTTCCGTGACACTTTGTAGATGCCTGTGTAAAAGTAATAATGTCGTGACGCAAATAGCTCTTCCTGGTGGAACTATTTTCGGGAACGTCGGCGTCGACAAAAGTTGTAATTCAACGAGTCGCATCAACGGGTTGTGACTGAATGGGAACGAGCAAGAAATAGTGACGGGAAGGCAGAGTTTGCGGAAGGAAGAGAGAAAAAATACTTGCATTCCCGAATGAATGAGTTCCAAAGCGGAACCGTTCCAGCGACAACGAAGCGGATACAAAAACGGAGCAATATTTTCGTAACCAAGTGCCAAGAATACGAGCGACAAGCCAATTCGGTTTGTGGAGATATATACTACAATATTGTTTCGATAACTATTGAATCTATACGAAAGAGAGCTCAACCATTTATTTTTCTATAAAAAAAAAACTATTTCAAACCGCAACGAATTCGAATTAATCTTCTCTGTCCATTTCTCAAGATTTAGAAAATAGAAGAAAATTATTCAAAAAATTGTTTTCCTCTAATAAATTAATTTTGGTATAATCAATTAAATAACTGTGTCAATTCTTAATTATCAATATTATCATATTATTTAGATATTTTAAAACTTTCATAACACATACTTAAATAATATGTTTTGTTTATTAATTCCGAAAATTATTAAATAATAAATTTAATCATTCTAGGAAAAGAGTAAACATTTTCTGTATTAAAAGTTTATCATATTAATCCAATTAACAAATATGAAAAAATGAGCAGACTTAGAAATAAAATATAATCTTATTTAATGTTTTACTAACTTATTAATTAATAAAAAACAATTTTGCAAAATTGTTTTTGCGTGAAAGTATATAAAATTCACATCAAAAAATGTTACTTTTTTATAATTTGAATAATAAATATGAAGTATTCACGAAATAGTACTATTTCACAAACTGCTGCTCAAAAAAGAGATGTTCTAAAGATCATTAAAATGCATATTTCTCGAAATTTAAAAAGGTCATACAATAAAGCAAGATGCATTTCTGTCTCGCCTACGCGGGTTCGCGAATAAGCGGGATAACGCACGGCAGTTCGCGAAGTGCCATTCGCAGAACAACTTGTAAACGAGTCGGGGAGAATCGATTCGACACGTCCTCGCGCGGAGGGTTGTTGGCAGGTCGAGAAGGAGAAAGAGGAGAAAAATCCTGGGGCTCCGTCCTTTCTGCCTAAGGACATATATTCTTCTTTTTCGTTTTCGAGAGCCACTGTAGATAATTGGGCCCGCACCCACGAAGAGCTCTCTGTTTCTCATCTCGTTCTCTCTTTCTTCCGTTTTCACGCTCCCACGAAATCTTTCGATCCAACATGCACAAGAGGTGCATAAGAATGCGGCACGGTTGTCGTGCATATAAAATAATATACGCGAGGATATAAAGCGTGATTATTCAAGATAAATATTTTAAGATAAATAGTTCAAGATAAAGACAATTGAATAATATTCTGGCACACAATCATATATAATATACATCAAAAACATTTGTATAAATTTTATCAATTCATAAATTAAAGCGAGGATATCCATGTAATATATAAAGCGTGATCATGCAAGCTAAATACAGTTAAGACAATTGAATAATCATCTGAAACATAATCATATATTATATATACATAAAAACATTTGTATAAATTGTGTTAATTTAGGAATTAAATAAAACAATTTTCAAATTCACTTTTTGTGAATTATAAAATATTTAATTTGTAATTATTTTTTAACATTTATTTCATAAAATATAATATAGAAATATTTGTAATACTTGTAATTGTGTAATGCTTGTGTAGTAATATTTGTAATTTTATTTCACTGATGCTAACTAGATTGATTTATTTCAATTTTTTAATATCCAATATTTTTTCCATTCACAAAATTATATGCACAAAAATATTTCTCACGCATAATCTATTTGATAATATCTAAAAATTTCATTCGCAATATATATAATTCCACCGTAAATCACAATCGTTTATTTTTTAATCTAAATTTTTATATCAATTTTTTTATTAACAATTTTGTACACACATTTATAATACTGTATTCATATTAAATGTGAACGTGGATTGTTTGCATACATTGATTAAATCTGCTTTATGGAATGAAATAAATCATATGTTTATTTCAAATAATAATGTAATTATATCGTTTTTAATCAACTATATAATATGTATTTTACTCTAAACAGATTAATTAGCAGTTAAAGAATTTTAATAAAACTCTCAATGTGTATTATATATATATATATATATATATATATATATGTGTGTGTGTGTGTGTGTGTGTGTGTGTGTGTGTGTGTGTGTGTGTGTGTGTGTGTGTGTGTGTGTGTGTGTGTATTAATTAAATTGTCATTCTAGAATTTTCTAATATACTTTCAGATTTCTTTAGGAGGAAATACTCCGCAACATGGATTTTAATTGCCTTTTATACAATGCATTTGTTGTAGCATTTGATAACGCTTATCAACACATCAAATATTATTTTAATATAAATAACCATAGATTTATTTCATATTGCAACCCGAAACAATATGATTATTCAATTGTTTTAATAATATATGCTGTTATATTCCACTTACTCTTTACCTAACGACGATTATATAAGTAAGCAATTCTCATCCGTAGAATTCGCAGACAATCTGGTTATTTCTCCATCGATGCGTTTCCATTAGTGATATGTAACACGTTGTAAATTCCCTGTAATAAATGTTCGATTAGTCAATTGTGATACTTATTCTAGCAGACAGAGAAAGAGAGAGAGAGAGGGAGGAAAAGAGAGAGAGAGAGAGAGAGAGAGAGAGAGAGAGAGAGAGAGATCAAATTACCATATAAATTTTTCAAATGCAACACGTCTAGCACACTTCTTATCTAAATATAAAGCCGTAATTAATTGAACACAACGCGAACGCTAATTGATTCCAGTGTTATTCAATTAATTATCTTCTATTATTATATTTGTATATTCTCGAATTAACGACACTCGTCCACGAACTCGTATACGTAAAATAACTATCCACGCGTAAACGACACGACGACGACTCGAAAAATATTGATTAACTTCCATTCGCGATACATAATCACATCACAATTTCGCCGTGATAATTACTCGATTACGTTTTTAGACCGAATTTCCGTGAAGATTTTCTCCGAATGATCTTTCGCGCGCGAGGTGACTATTGCCGCTCATGGTTACCAACATGAAGCCGTGATTTTTGGCGCGTAATGCGTGCCTATCGTTCATGCTCACCAACATGAAGTCGCGATATTTGGCGCGCAACGCGTCTATCGATTATTGCCAATATATATATCGATATCGAACATAACCTTCTTGATCGATACTCTCGTTTTCTGAAACAAATATCGATAACTTCACACAAAATAAAAAAAATCATATATATTTATTTCGAGAGAACAGAATTAAATTGTTTAGATATAAATATACATAATAATAATCATAGATCTCAATTAGCATTATTATTTCTTATCATTTCTCAACTTACTTCAATATTTTTACGACGCGCGCCCGTCCACAAACTCGCGTATATAATTACTCTCAGCGTATAAATTATCGACGCGATGTCCGAAAAATATTGATTGATTTCCACTCGCGATACATAACACATCATAATTTCACCGAAATAATTATTTGATTACCTTTTTAGAACCAAATTTTCATAGATTTCTATACGCTTTTCCCGAACAATTTCTCGCGCACGACCACTACTATGTCGTTATTGCCACTCATGATTACCAACCGTGAAACTGTGATTTATCAAATGTGATGTACGACAAATCGATTCCCGCGCTTTTTAAATATTACAAATATATAACTTTACGAAATAAAAGGTATCATATATTTATTTCAAGAGAACATAACTATATGTATATGATATAGTATTTTTAATATATTACTTTTTTAAAAGATTAATTTATATATTTAATTTACATACACACAAATGTTTATTTTTGCATAATGATAAAATAAATTTATAATTTAAATAAATAATTAAAAAAAAATAAAATGTAATCCCATAATTTTAAAATATATTATTTGATTTTAAAAGAAATTATCATTTAAAAATATTAAAGTAGATTATAGCAAATGCTTATTTTGTTTATCTTACATGACGTAAGTCTTTTTATATTCATTAATAGATTCTTAACATTTAACAATACAATATTAGACATTAGCAATAAAATACTAGGTATTATATTGGAATATTAACAAAATAGAGGTACAGATCTTTATTTTTCATATGATATTCATAAAAACTTTTAGATTAATAAATGCTTTCGACAAATGACTTGATTGTCACACTAATCACTTAGCAAATTAGAAAATTAACAGTGATCTATATGTAAATTATTAATATCAAATATTAACTATGGATTTTCAAAATTTTCATTTTCTTTTGGCTAAGTATGTGAGTACATATATAAATGTATAAACTCTATATGCATTAAAAAATTATTTAATTAATAAAAAATCACTGGAACGCTAAATCTTTCAAAAATTAGCAGTATATTTACTGATAAGCATCTCAAAATGCTGAATGTATCAAATATTTTCATATATTTGCGATGTCTATATAAACTTTTATATAATATAAATAAATTATTATGAATCCTATGTTCTTTATGATTCTGTTGATTCTTGTTGTTCAAACTTGGGATATTTTGCTTCCACTTCTGTCCAAGTAGTCCTTCCATAAGAAAGATCTCTCACAACACCAGGCAACTCATCTAACTACAATTAAACATGTTAAGAATAGTAATTAAAAAATAAAATTTATATTATATAATATTTGTTTTATTTATGATTTTATAATACCAGCTATTATTAAATTATTCTTTTTTGCAAATCTTCTTTGCATATTTAAAATTTACACATTCTGCAATACAAGTTTCATATATAAATGTATAATTATAACAGATAAATATACATACGTATATCCGAACTTGTCCCATGCTGTCTCTGTCTCTGAGTGTTGCACTGTGCGGTATCTTTAAGGTGTCAAAATCAATAGTAATGCCAAATGGTATCGCTATTTCATCAGTACGAGCATATCTACGTCCTATGCTACCAGAAGAATCATCCACTTTGTGCGAGACATCTACTTTTGTAAGATCTTGCGCTGTAAAACATTATTGATATAATCATTTTTATTAGATACATAGTATTTAGATAGATAATTATTAAATCATTTGTCTACACTTTCAAAATGAAATCATTATTGATATAATTATCTTTATAGGTACATAGTATTTAAATAGATAGTTATTACATCTTTTATCTGTACTTTCAGAAATGAGAAATCAGAGATAAAATCAAAGATAAAGCAAAGAAATATAACACTTACTAATATCAGAATAAGTATAATAGTAAATAATTAGATTTGTGTTTCACTTACATAATTTTTTTACGAACGGCACGAATTCGTCATTACCACTGAGTGGCAATACCGAACACTTCAATGGTGCTACTACCGGTGGCAGAGTAAAATACGTCCTCTTTTCATCACCTTCTCTTGCTTTGAAGTTATGCTCAAACAAGGTGTACATGATGCGACCAATACCAAAAGAAGGCTCGATCACCGAGGGTATAATCTCTTCTACATGAACCGTCTTTTGATAACGCTTTACTTCTATCATGTCTGCGATAATCCGTACGACAGTATTATTAGACAGTGTCAACTCGTTTTCTGCATTTTCTTTGAGAGCTCTTTCCAAGGCCACGATCTCGTTTTCACTTAATGCTGCTAACGCGTCCTGAACAGCTTTACTGTCCTTCTTGAAAGTTTTACCGATCAGTACCTTGTTTGGTACGATCTCACAAACGTCCACCGTTTTGGGAGCAGGCAATTTCTTCTCCGCTACCAGTTTCACACCGGTAGCCTTAGTGTGTTGTGTTAAATCGTAAGCAGATCGATCGGCACATCCTACACACTCTATCCATCCGTATGAAGTTAGACATTCAGCGTCCCAGCAGTCACAAGCGTAATGTGCCATTTCATTGCTCATATGCTGACGGAATCGTAAGCGATTCGGGTCGACGCCGACCTTCAACAGGAATTGATAAATCCTAGCTATAAAGTAACCTAGGGTTTCATTAGCTATTAAACCAGATGAGACAGCCTCGCCTATAGTGACGTGTTGCGCGCTCTTGCCATCCATCTGATTGCAAGCCGAGTACAACAGCATGCTTATATCCTTGACTGTCTCGAACTTGGGATGACTTTTATCATTCGGGTCACAAAAGTGCTCGATCTCCGCCATAGTGAATTCTCGAACGCGTATGAGACCAGATCGCGGTGAAATCTCGTTCCTGAAAGCATTGCCGATCTGCGCTGCAGCGAATGGTAATCGCTCTTGATTGAATGCCAGCAATCTCTTGAAATTCACAAAGATACCTTGAGCCGTTTCCGGTCTCAAGAAACCTTTAACGAGTCCAGTCGGTCCGATTTGAGTACCAAACATCAGATTGAATTCTATTGGTTCTGTTAAGTCGTTACCAGATATTGGTGATTTTATATTATATTTTAATAGAATAGCAGCCATTTCATCCTTTGTCATGCCATCGAGTTTAATAATGATATCTCTACATTCCTCACGTGTCTTCTCATCCGTTTTCTTATCGCAAATTACCTTCTCCAGATTCGCCTTGATCAAGTGATCCAATCGAAAGCACTCACCAGTTTTTACGTCCTTTACCATTAGATCGGCAAACCGTTCTACATGGCCAGATGCCTTCAGCACTGATTCAGGTGTCAGAATGGAACAATCAACCTCCAGCATCTGCTCCTCCAACACAAAGAAATTTCTCCAAGCATTTATCAAATTTGTTTTCAGCGAGCAACCCATAGGTCCAAAATCATACTGACCAGTGATACCTCCATAAATAGCAAAAGATTGATCTAAGTAAAATCTACGTTTTAAAAGATCCTCCATCCTTGCCCTATCAAATGCAATATTGTTGGAAGCTAGAGACAGTTCCTTATCTTCTAGTATCTTTTTGCGCAACTTTAATTCTGCCACAGCTTTTTTGACATCCAATTCTGGAGCGCCATCAGATTTCAACTTCCGTACATAATCACCCTGCAAAGAACAATATCTCATAAAAGATAAATTGATACAAAAGATAAGTTAATACAAGTTACCTAAACAACATGGCATTAAAGTGATGCAAATTGATATAATACAGTAAAGACATACAGCACACGTTTATGATAATTTTTAAAAAATATATATTTGTTATCCATTCACAAAATCTGTCAACATTCAAAGCATTAATTCTGCTAAAAATATCGCTAAAAAATTGACAATACCAACAAGATTCTCTCAAGATTTCAATTTCTACTTTGCATCCATATGGCACTCACTTGTTCCTTGACGCTCGCGCGAAGTGGCGCCAGGGCTTCCTCGATTTTAGGATCCGTCATATCGAGCACGAGGGCGACTTTTAGCTTTCTGTTTGCCTTTTTGGTGCCCCACCGGCTGAAATCGAATACGCTGGCGGTGGTAACGACGTTTCTGACAGGTGGTCTAATAAGTGAAAGGTTGCTTGACACGTGGTACTTCCCTATTCTACACACGATATAGTGCAAACCGCGCTTTAGAAGCTGCATTCGCCGCAAAAATGAATGCGCCGTGCACTTTCACGCATTCGCCATGCGATTTCACAATTAGGTTGTGAGGTTATTCACGGTACTTTTTGCACTAGGTATAAGGCACATGTACCTGAGGTTAGAATTCGATCCGGTGCGAGATATTTAAATCGATATAATTTAAATCGATATAATTTAAATCGATATAAATTAAATTGATATAATTTAAATCGATAAAATTTAATTTTTGATCTATGATTAGAGGAAAATAAACTTTACAAGTTATTGTCGATTTTATTAATTACCTATTTTATCTATTAAATATGAGTTTTATTTTGTTTAATTACTTATATTCTTTTCGTCAAGTTTTCACGAATAAATATAATATATACAAAATTATTGACATGCCATTTATATAGCTACTATATGTATTATATATATATATTTTTTTTCTTTCACATAAATGTTAATAAAATATAATTTTTTCTGAGATTTGTATTTTTTAAAATACCTATTATTTGTTCTTACAATAGTAATTTTTTAAGAAGTTATTAATCATTATAATTAAATATTGCAATAAAATCCATTGTATAAATTGATACCATGTACATATATAAGTTAAACTTGATCGCTTATTTACGAAAGATTATATATATCTTTAAAAAACGGCATGTACTTTAAAACAGAATACAATAAAATATATATGAATAAAAATTATGTACAACACAATGATAAATCTAAAATTATTCATTGCAACAGAAAACAAGCTCGTCTAATATCGAATGCTTTTATTTCATTAATTAATTATTTCATTTTATCTATGTCATATACACCATAGCGCGATTTTATAGAAAATGTACAATTAGAAAACGTAAAGCTTGTGAAAAAAAGAAATAGAGATTGCGACACGAGCGTTATTTTATTCCTCTTTGCTGGCAAATTTATTATAACTTTTCGATAAACCCAGCTCTTGTGTGTAACATGTATTTAGTCATCCTATATCGTGTGTACACAGACAAAAATTATGTGTATCGCGAAAATCTTATCACGTCGATACAGAGAATTTCGGACTGAAAGAGAGATCTCTTTCGTACTAAGATGAATCTGTTTACTTATAATTCCATAATAAGTCGACACATAATCATCTCTCTTACGCATTTACTAAGCATTTACATGTACATTGCAGCGCGTATTCTAGCCGTACGCTAAAAGCAGCTGCCTCTGATGCTCTATGATTATCATCATTACAATTGAATCTTATATATGTAATCATAAATCTATTAAGCTTCACAAAATTTTCAATATTCTTTGATATATCGAGAATTTTTCCAATGCCTTTACGAATCTTACATTTTAATTTCAAAATTCTTTTTATATCCTCTCTTTTTCTACAATTTTTGAAACTTTTTATGTGAGCATAATAAAGAATTGTGAAATCCTTATTTAATTACATATATTGAACAATTTTATATACGTCATTTTATCAAGATTTATCAGACAAGAATAGCTTTTTCTGAATAAAGTTAGACGGCCACGTTTAGCGTTAAATGTGCGGCGAAAATACGAGCCTATGAGCTAATTCCTGTTTTTGGTCACAGATGCAAAGATGAATGTTGTAAAAAACAAATTATACGTAGGCTCTCATTCTTCTCTTTCTCTCGCTTTTTACATAACAATAGTATGATTAAAACCATTTCTCTTTTTTACCGGTGTAAACAATTTATTTTACATAAAAGCAATACTCTGACATCGAAAAAAGCGATAATAATGGCTAATGTATAATAATAAATAAAATATGAAATGTAAATGATGGATATTTACAGATATGCAAATGGCAAAAAGAAATCTATAACAGAGAAGAAATATAATTGCTCTTCTGTAAATATATGAGTCGCTTATTCTGAGAGCGATGCAAGTCAATCTCGAATATCTCACTAAAATGCACATGTCGCTTCTACGTATTCACATCTTAATTACAAATTCATTAGCCCATATACTCGCCTTTATTATCGTATCCTTCTTCATTATCGTATTTATCATTTATCATTAGACGTTATGAAAATATCAAGTCACATATTGACTCGTATATATTCACAACCATTCATATATTCCACAAAATATGAAATATATGTATATATTTCACATTCAACACTAAGTAAAACGCTAAGTATAATGAATACGATTCTTACCACGATATAACATCAAATGCAATTATCGTAAAGTGTACGAATAAAACGCGAAATTGGGCCACCGCATTTAGCGCTAAATGTAGTCATATAATTCTCAGCCTACAGGTAACATCGAATGTATGTAACATCACATTTTTTTATGTTACATAAAACAAAACTCAACAGTCACATTTGGTCGCTAAATGCGGGATGTGAATGTTGTCGCTTCGTAATTGAACTTGGCAACGCTTTCAGAACGGACGGCTCTTTACGCGCGCGTTTTATACGACGGGCTCCTTGTCGAAAGATTGCACAGCTTACTTGCGCTAAACGTAACACCTGTACACTTAGAACCTACGAAACGCGTGTGGCCGCAAAGCGTCTCAAGTAAACGCCGAGAACGCCGAGGTCTCTTCGCAAACAGACGACACCGAGACCCGCCACGGAGACACAATATACTAATTAATATATCCAGCATGAACGCTTATCTCGCTAGAATAATTCATCTATAATCAGAGGTATTCAACCTAAAGTACTCTCGGAAGAGCGTTAAAGCAATTCTCTTATATTCTAAGAGAAAATCTTAAGAGCTTTAACAAATAGGCACAAATATGTAAACAAAAATATATATATATATATATCTGCAAAGTTTATATGAAGAATTGGCTTCGCACAAAATATAGGGGAACATTATATATAAGTGATTTCAAAATAAAAATATAAAGTATTACGTTATGTATATATATATATATATATATATATATATATATATATATATATATATATGTGTATATATATATATATATATATATATATATATACATACATATATATATATATATATATATATATATAGAGGAAGATACAAAAATATTTTACAAAAAAATCTCTTACAAATGAAGAAATATGCATGTTATATTGGCAAATACAAAATTCTCTAAAAAACATATCTGTAAAAAGCACAAAGATCTGAAAGAGATGCTTTCAGGATTACGCTGAAGAAAGGATTGAATACCACTGGTCCATATAATGTATTACAGGGAGCACCATGATAGACTCGTGCGCGCCTCTGTGTCCCACTTGGAAAAATGGATTAGCCATCTCGTGCAATCCCGGATTGACTTATACTAAACGTAAATGCAACAATTTCGATCAATCGCGAAAACGGGTCGAGATTCCGGACCTGCTCGCGAGATTCTCGCAAAATCAAGGTCGGCGACTATGATTCCAGACAAGAGTGTACAGTGCGCGAATTCGCCACGAGATTATAATAAAATATCACAGTTCCGAGTCTCTGAAGAGTCGCTCCTGAAAATCATGGCTCTCCCTACGTTTATACTACGTGTCCAAGATAGTGTGAATTCTTTTTTTTAATCGTAAGAGACATCCTAGTTAACAACAATCCTACGCTCTATTGTAAGATTATCTATTTCGGAAACCGTAACGATTAATAGTATAATATGTAATCCATATACAACTCGCTAGGTATGCTGTAGACTGTATTTACTGATTGCTAAATGTTTCAGGTGAATACTGTATGTACTTATGTTACGCATGTAAATATATGTAAATGGAAAAAGATACGAGATGACATGTAGACGCGGCGTTAACGCATACCACGAAGAATAGCATTGATTTCGGCGCTCGAGAAAAAAAGAGACGATAATACGCTTTCTAAAAATCAGATTTACGGAAGAGTAATGCATAATGCAAACTAAAATAATCCCTTGCGATTCATGGCTCTCACCCTGAACTTGTCTCTTTGAAGTAAAACTATCATTCAAATCAGAATTTCAGACAAATATCAAAAATTTCTTTGAACCTTCTGATTCAAATAATAATTCCACTTTAAAAAATGCAAAAATATGCATTTAAAAATAAAAAAAATATCGCAAACATCAAAAAAATGTTTTGTAATTACAATTATGGTTCAAATAGGTTCTAAATTAAACATGTATATACATGTTATATACAAATAAAATTTTTAGCTACATCATTTGAGAGTAAAATGACTGATTCACTAAGAATTGCAACAGTCAAATATATCGCTATAATATATAAAGTACATCATGTGGCAGAATAGAAAAAAGCATTTCGTTGGACAAATACATTCCAATACATTCCATACATATGAATATTTCAACAAACAACTTGCATTTTATAATATAATTTTAAATGATTCATATAGCTTGCAAATCCATTACTCTTGCCGTACCATTTGAGGGGGATCAGTCGATTAATTTCAAAATCATCAAGAATTTGTCATGGAAGTGTATTTTTTTGTATCTCACTCTTAAAATTAAGAGTCTCAGGTAACAAGCTAAAAATCACCTGAAAAAAAAACTAAATTTACAAATTTACAAAAACTAAAATTAATTCCTTAATGTATTACTCTTAATGTAAAACATCATTGTTGATTAATATCAATCGATAATCGAGTCTTTAAAAAAAAAAAAAAAAAAAAAATTTAATCTCAAATCTTTGCTTAACCACTTGGCATTTCTAACTCATAAAGTTCAGTTTTATGTAAATAGACACATGTCATCAATCAATCACGAGAATTTTGTTCCATTGGAAATGACTCTCTCCCCCTCTTAATTATAAGAATTATATAAAAATGAGTTAAATGGCTGAATGTAACATTACATTCATAACATTGTGAAGCTGAATGATAGTATGCAATACTTTTCTTCACATACGCTTTACTCCTTCAATCTTCCCAAAGTTATATGTCATCAATAAACTAATCAATTCCAATGTTAAGAAGCTATTGACGAAAGGCTAATTCGGCAAATGACATCATGCAAGTACAAAAAGTAGAAAAAGTTGCGAGAAACGCAATTAATCGCGATTATAGCGTGAAACATATTGCAATCTAAGTCGCATAATCTAAGCATTCGTAAAAAATCTTACTTGACATCGCTCTTATGAGATTGGAGAATTAAATAAAGAAGGAATTTATACCGCTAGATGTACATTTTTTTCTCAGTGAAGTTAACTAGTGAACAAAGAACGCATCGCAAAAACGGCCATCGACAGCCAAGTTAAAATATTATGAACAGTTCAACAGATTGCACGGTTCAATGTTAATTAGGGCTATTTACGCTCGCCCTCCTTAATCACCTTATATATATATCAATTATATATCGCAAAGTACTCGAGTAATCTCGACAATTCAAACATCTCTTCTTAATATCTCAATATTTGTGACTAAATATTTACATCGATGCGTTTTACAGCTTCAGTCTATTAAGCTTCGGAGCCGCGGGCTTTGCGATAACTTTTTCGTTCTTCATTATCTTTAACCTAGGATTACTCTTAAACGCGTTGCTTCCTTACTGAGCGGGTGGTTGAGGCTCGCTCGACATATTGGGGTTCGGATACGGCAGAAAAGAGTAGTTGGGATAGGGCGGCGGAGGATGCGGAAACGGCGAGTAATAATTAGGTGGATGCGAAGAGGGAGGAGCGTATCCTCTGTGCATGTAAGGATCCGTTGGAGGTGGCGGACCATGAAACGCCGAGTACATACGAGCATAATCCGTGTTGTAACTTGGTCCACCGTATGTTGGATAACCGGGTGCTCCTGCGGATTAATTTTGCCATTAGTATTTTTGCTAAATACATAGAGGAAGAGACATACATTTCTATAGGTCTCTTCTTTTCAACTGCCTACATTAGTTCAAAGTTTAGCTTTTTTTATTCCACATTGAAAGGAAAAATATAAACTCTGAACTAGTGCCAGTTCAACTGAAAAGAACAGATCTTTTCTGGAATACAAAATTCACAGACGCACAAAAAGATGTTAACAAATATAATTTTACATTAGATGTAGGCAGAGACAAAAATGGTAAAACCTTATTTTTGTCTTATTTTACTTAAGAATTTAGGATTCTCACCACCTGGAGGATACGCTGCGGATGAGCCAGGCGCCGGTGGATAATGCTGCGAGTATGGATCATACGGGCCTGGTGGATACGGCCCCGGGTATCGCGTGCTAGTGGGATGGCTAAATGCGGTAGGTATATGCGCAGTCTCGTCTCTAGTCGAGGAGGCCACCGTCGTAGTCACAGCTGCAGTGTCCGTACCCTTAGACTCCGTCGCGGAGTTGCTCGTTAACGTTTTGGCAGTAATGCTCGGTACTTGTGAAGAGTAAGCGGTAGGCACGTTCATCACGTTTCTTTCATCCGTAGGCTTTCCTAAATCCGGCTGAGGTTTCGTCGTGTCTATTGGCAGTCTGCTGCTGGGAGGATTGGCCGTGTGCGGTGGAACGCTGGGAAAGTAAGTGCCGTAAGGATTGGATAGCGAGCGGGATCGTGGATCGCTGTAGTCGTAGTATCTCGGATACTGCGCGTAAGGATACCCTTGGGGTACATTCGGCGTTGTTGGATCTCCCTGTATCACATTATCTCGCATACTCGGAGTCGGTTCGACGCTCTTTGGAGAGGTAATGTTAGTACTCGTGCACACTGAGACAGTCGATGGCGTGACGACGGATGAATCAGCGCTGTTTTTATGCGTTTCTGGACCTCTTACAGGTACAGATAGTACCGGCATCGACGGCATCGGCATGGTCGATGGTATCGGCATGCTCGATGGTATCGGCATACTCGACGGCATGCTCGATGATATGCTAGATGGCATGCTCGACGGCATACTCGACGGCAAATTTGTTGACATATTCGACGGCATACTCGACGGCAGGCTCGACGACATGCTCGACATGTTCGACGACATGTTCGACGGTATACTTGACGGTATACTTGACGGTATACTTGATGGTATCGATGGCATGCTTGATGTTACTGGGATATTCGGCAATACTGGCATTGTTGATGGTGCTGATACAGCTGATGATACTGGTAACGGTGCTAACAAAGATGGTGGTATCGATCCAGAAGTGGTCACATGGGTTTGTGTCGCTACCTGCGGCGTTACTTGCGACGATTCTTCAATGATGATATCATCGTTAGTAGCATCTCGTTTCTCTGTCTGGCTATGAAAAGGCCGACTATAATTTGTTAATGTATCTGACTTGGAAGCTTCCTTCTCCGGTGGGGAACATTGTTTGTCGACGGTCAATGGTAGTTCCGGTTCGGGCTGATCATGTTGCGTTTGCACGCTTTGCGCTAATGAGACGGTGTCGGGTGTGTAAACCTGAGTGCCTTCTTCGGAAGATTTCGGTAAAGACGTGTCCGTATCCGAATTGGTATTACGAGTATGATTAGATGGACTGTACTCGGTGTTTGAGCTCACTTCGGCTACTACATCCTCCAATCTAACTTCCTCGACTCGTTGTTCGGTTCTCAGTTGACCATCGGACGAATTAGAATTATCTCCGAGTGTGGAATGATCCACCGGTTCTTGTTTCACTTTCGGTAACCTCGACAAAGAGACCTGGTTAGTCAGATTTACTTGACTCAAATACGGTTTGGCAGCCGCTGTAGCGACTGGTTTCGGTCTCTTAGAAGTTTCTTTATCGCCAAATGGCTTATAACCTGGACCCGGTGATGGTTTAGTGGGAAGTCGACTAGCCTGATTACTCGAAGAGGATTTGGGTATTATGGAAATAGCAGAATTATTTCGTAAGGGAAAGCCAACTTCAGATTTAGAATTCCTCTGTATCATCGAGGAAACACCTGCAAAATGCCGAATTTTCAAATGATACAATACTTTAAAATATAACACGATAACCAGGATTAATCATTATACATTAACTCACCTTTCTTCGGCTCTTCATCCCGTTTTTGCTGATTCAATTTAAGCGCAGTACGAATCGCTATAATTTTGCCGGATTCGAGTTGCATATAAATGCCCTTTGGACTCTTTAAAACCATAACCCGTTGTCCTGCTTTCAAAACGATGCTTCCTTTATCCGGAGAATTGGTCGGAATGACCACATCCAAAGGTAGCGTCATCTCTTGCGCGCTCATCCCTTGCCTTTGCCACACCTCTGCCGGAATCCATCTACTACCAGTTACATTTCGCGGACCTAATCCTTCAGCTCCTCGTTGTTGCATTGGTCTGACGGAAGCAACAGGTTTTGGCGTAGGTCCTCCTCCATCACCGCCGCGAATCGCCCTAATTTGTAAACCACCTGCTGCAATAGTCGCAATATATACAATTAGCTTTTTATTTATAATAAAATTTCTATATATGTGTATAAATATAAATTATACCTCGCGTAGCTGTATTTCCTGGAACATAATTATAACTCGGCCTTGAATTAGCTGCCATCTTCTCAAGCTCATAACCGCGACGAGCTAATCGCTTCTCAGCCTGACTAAGTTTCTTATCTTTCCGATCGACGAGCAAACTCTCGTGATGAAATGGTTGCTTCGTTAACAATGAGGAATGGCGTTCTAATACACAATGCATAACTTGGTCCGTGTAACTGTCCTTGGTCTGCGAGAAATCTTGTACTTGGCTGTCCTCTTCCCAATCCCATGACAATGTCGTCGCCTCTTTCAGCGAAAGATGCGCGTCAGGATTGCACTGATCGACCACCCGATCCGCCATACCTTGTTTACTAATCTGTCGGTCGTAGATCTTTCTTTCCAGACAATTATCGGTAACTAATCGATAAACAAAGCACGGCTTCTGCTGGCCGTACCTGTAGACTCTACACACAGCTTGTGTGTCGTGACACGGGTTCCAAGAAGCATCGAATACGATCGCGCGATTTGCGCCGACGAGATTAATACCCAGTGAACCTGCCCGTGTCGAAACTAGAAATAAATGAATCTTTGGATTATTGTTGAATTCGTTGATCAGTTTCTCGCGCTCTAAAGCGCTGGTGCTTCCATCTAATCTATAATAATTCACATTCTTGATCCAAGCATCAGTCTGTCCATCTGGATACTTTAAGCTATTTCGCGCTAAAAAGTCCTCTATGAGATTCAATGTAAACAACGACTGCGAGAATGCGAGCACACGATCTCCCAGTTTGATAGCTTCCTCGAGGATGCAAAAGAAGATAGTCATTTTTCCAGACGCGTCTATCAACCCAGGTATGTAGTTCTTCATCAACTCTGTCGCCTGTAACAAAATTATATATTACCACTACTATTTAGTACTTAAAAATAATTATTTTCTTTAATTTGCATATTAAATTCAAATGAGTGAAATATATATTAACATACCCAGTCATATGGAATTCCAGGGTCTTCCTTTCCCATAGGAGAACTCTTACAATCTTTCTCCTCGTCTTTCGTAAGAATCTCGTCATCAGATTTATCCTCCTTATCCTTTTCCAGTTGATCTTCTTTTTCTCTCTCATCCTCCTTCAATAATTCATTCTGATTCAATCGAGGACTGTTCGCTGAATTAATCCCCTGTCCCGGTTGTCTGGGCGCAGGAGTCGCCGAACTCTGGCGATTTGATTCCGTCATATAATTCGGCGTGCCGCTGAAATTACTCGGATGCATCGGTTGACTTTGCACGCCGATACTGGATGTCATGTCTTTACTGTTTTTGTTGCATGGTGAAGAATGAGTACCGGACTTCTGAGAAGCAGTTTTCGCAGACTCGTCGGACCGTGAATTCATGTCCGAATTATGATTAGCATAATCGTACGATTGATTCGGATAATTTTGCGGCGGAAAGTAATTGTTCTGATAACGATTCACACCCGGATTCATCTGATCTCTGTAATACGAGTCATTGCACTGCTGATCCGACCGAAACGCTTGCGGATAATTGCGTTGCGGATAATTACAGTAGGGATCGTCCGCGTTCTTCATCTGTCCGACCGACGTCGTTGGATTCGAGCCATCCGACGAATAACTCGGCATAACGGGATTCTGCGTTTGCGATTGATTGACGGTGTAATTGTTCCCGGAATTGTTAGCAGCACCTCCAGCTGAACGATCGTTCGAAAATTCGTTCGCGGTTGGAGCGTAACCTTGCGTTTGCTGCGACACCGCAGTCACATCTGATCTGGAGTAGAGTTGATCGCTGGGACCTAGTGACGGATTGGATTGTTGTGGTTGATTCGGTGAATACTGGGTCATAGTCTGATTCTGAGCCACCTGCGTCTGTTGTGCGGTACCGTATCGATGAGCAACGGGAGTCTGCGGCATCGTACCAGGATGGTTTGACGAATAACCAGAGTGAGTCTGATTAGACTGCGGAGCCGCTGGATTCTGCTGATTCTGTGGAGGATACGGCGTTGTCTGATTGGAAGCTGTGGCTTGGGACACCATATGATGTCCATATCCTGTGTGAACCTCGTTCTGCGAATTCGACGTCGAACCCTGCTGATCCGGAGGATACCTATGCGTTTGATTCTGTGCGTTGACGTTTTGCGCAGGTTGATTGGCCGGATAATTGGACTGGTTTTGCGCCACGTTCATCTGATTCTGTGGTGCCGGAGTATAGCCGCGCATTGGACCCTGCGGCACAGATCCCTGACTCGGCTGATTCGGCTGTATGTAACCGTGAGAAGAAGCCTGGGGCATAGGAGTCGTTGATGCTTGATTGAACCCATGCTGTGGAGTCTGCGGCGGAGTTGGATTCACCTGCGTAGGATAGGCATGCGACTGACCTTGAAGAGGCATACCTTGAGGTTGCTGGCCGGTGTACGAATGAGATTGAGTTTGCAAGTTCAGATTCTGTTGATTCTGCTGGTTCGGCGAGAAACCTCGATTTTGGCCGGGTGATGTGTTCTGACCCTGTTGCGGCGGTAGCAGATAGCCAGTGGTTTGAGTTTGATTTTGAGTCGAAGATTGACCTTGTTGTGACACAGGATAACCCATCGTCGAATTCTGCAGTGGTTGCGTGTCGTTTCGCGGATATATCGGATTCGTCTGAGCCGGCGTCGGCGTGTAATTTTGATTCTGATTCGTGGCATATGACGAGTAATCTGTCATCGGCATATTCGCAGACTGATTCGGCATCTGAGTCTGAAAGGAAGGCTGATTAGGAACCTGGGAATAATTGTTAGGCCCTTGATTCAAATTCGGCGTATAATTACGCTGCTGCTCCTGATAGGGATAATTTTGCCGTGAAAACATTCCCGGTGCTTCGTAATTATTTCCTTGATTTTGATCCGATCTGAAATCAGATCCAGCCGCTGCACTGCTGTATCTTTGAGGATGATTCGTCGACTGCTCATTCGACTGCATGTAATTTTGCGACTGATTAGGATATCCTTGCGATGTATTGTAGCCAGATGTTTGAGTATACGATTGAAATGGTTGATTGCCATATCTCTGTCCTTGATTATTATAAAATTCTCCGTGATTATATTCACTGTTATTATCATTCCTATAGTATGTATTTTGATCGTTTGGACGGTAGTTTTGATAACCGTGAGGAGGATAAGATCCCTGCTGTATAGAGTTGGAATATCCTGAGTTGGAAACCGGCATCGGAAAATTAGTATAATTATTTTGCTTCGGAGTATTATGTGCGTTTTCAGCTTCCGCGTTATCGTTGCTAGATGATGAGGAAGCGTTCGGTTGTACGCTAGCCGCGGGCTTGTTCTTTATCGTCGTACCTTTCTTAGATTTCTTCGATTCGCCTTTTGATTGACGCGCTTTAGATCTCTTGCCACCCGGCGTAGACTTCTCTCCAATTGTCTCCTCTAGATCCAAATCATCCTCTTCGTTCGCTTGACGCTTGCGAAGAAAATGGTACAAAATGTCTGGATGATTCCAAATCTTGCAACATACGGCGAAAGCTTTCAACGGATTCGGCACCGCGCGCGTTTTCACCACCTGATTCATGAACGTATCGTATAGTTTACGCTGATGAGGCGTCATCCTGATGAGAAGAATGTATTCCTCCTTACGCGGTAACGACATCTGCAACACGGAATGAGATCTCCTCTGCACAAAACCCTCCAATAAAGCATGCAAAACGTGCGCGCGATACCGCATCAAGCGTATATCTTGAGGCGTGGAATCGATACATTGGCCATTCTGTATCGGTCTCTCGAACATGTTGCAAAATTCGCTCTTGGTGCCCAGATAATTCGGTCTCACAAAATCCACCATACACCAATATTCCAGAAGATTATTCTGCAATGGATAACCGGTCAGGACGATCCTGCGTTTCGTACGCATCTGCTTCAATGCCATACTGATACTAGCATGCGAGTTCTTAATGCGATGACCTTCATCGCAGATTACCAAATCTGGTCCAGGATTCACAAGAGCTACGTGCATTTCGTCCAGCAGACCTTTGTTCTTATCTTCCTCTTCTACGTCTACAGTATCCTTGAAAGGTTGACCGCGCTTTCGTTTCGCCTTATTGGGCTTCTTCAAAGATAATTGTCTGTACAACTCGTAGCCTATCAGCAAAACGCCGCCGGTCGATTGCCATTCTTGGATTACCTTCGCTCTCGCCGTCATGGTTTTATGCGAATCATTCAAAATATGCAGGCGGAAGTGCCTCGGACGTACTTCCGAGCCAATGGGCGTGTTCACGCTGTACGGTGTCTTCACCTTTTCAATTGCCTCCTTCTTTTCCTCCGTCAACTCTTCTTTCGTTATCGTACTCTCTTCTTTCTTGATCGTCTCTTCCGGTTCCTTTTTCACATTCACGTTCTGAGATGGCAGCATTCCTCCTGGCAGCATGTTCTCCCTCTTTGGTTCCAGCTCATGTTGATTAGTCTGACTGCCGTAACTCGCAAAAGTGCTAGAAGGATTGTTGTAATTAGGATACATCGGCGCAGAATGATGCTCACCCATGCCTGCGTACATCGCCGGAACGTTTCGATTCTCCATATCGGGATACATAGAATTACCCTGTGATCGATTCTCCATACCGGGATACATAACGCCAATAGCTTGATGCTCCATGCCGAATTTTGGTCCCGTCATGTTCTGCCCGGGTGGCATACTATGACAATTCACTGGATCGGATTTCATTGTGTCAGGGAAATTAGAAAGCGGATTCGGATTCGCGTTGTACAACGGATTTTGCGGTATCTCGCCTTGATGATAGTTTGGTGGCATATGCGACGCGCGCGGTTCAGTCATATTCTTATTCATCATAGTAGGATCTTGCATGTAACCGCCCGAAATCATATTACGCGGCTCGTAACCATGATGAGAATTCATGTAGGGATTATCCGGCATGACATTCATCGGTTGTTGCGATGCAGCAGCGGTGTCCTGGCCAAAACGATGTGCGGATTCCGTACTGATAGGCCGCGACATATTGGACATATCACTCTGATTACCGCAACTTTCTTCTTTCATCTCGTGCTTCATATCCATTCCAGGTTCTACCTTGACATTTGCAGCCTTAGATTCCTTCTCGGCAGTAATAGCAGGATCTTCATACGGCAACCACATGTTAAATTCTGCTAGCCAGTTTTGGAGCGTGTTTATGGGCATGATACAGAGAACAGTCTTGGCAGTAGTGCATCGAAAAAAATGTCACAAAAACTAGCGACCTGGAGGGTCTTGCCCAAGCCCATACTGTGAGCGAGGATGCAGCCAAAACCGCTACTGGTTTTATACCTCTCAATAGTCTCAATAATGTTGTCGAAGAGAAAGCGTATACCACCGATCTGATGCGGTTTGATGATGCGAGCCACTTGCGGTGCAAGGAACACGTCCGGTTCGGTTTCAGGATGGCCAACGTTTATTAATACGCGCCCGTGTTCGTCCGGAACGTTGTACCGATCGTTGGTGTGCATACCGGAGTTGGATGGATCGTCCTCGTTATCGGTCTCTTCTTCACCACTGGGATCGCTTAGGACTATACAATCGTCGTCTGAACTATCACTCGAACTTGATATCGTCACTACATCTTTGCCCTTGGCCGGCCTCTGATATTTGGGTACGCCAGGCGTCTTCCGCATTGCATGTACTTGCTTTTCACGTATCATCTCCTCAGCTTCCAAATCAGACATCTCGGAATCCGAATAATACTCTGCACTCTGATCCATCGGCTCTTTTTTAGGCACCACTGGTGATATACTCACGGATGGTGTCATCATACGAATCCTTTGCTGAAGCATATTGGGCGCACCGGAGCGATTCGGGACCCGCGAGATGGACGTTTGTGCTCCTTGGTAGCCACCTCTGCCCTTTTGCCAACGCATTCCACTGTCCACTGATCTCCTCTGAATCTGTCCCGCTTGCATTCCGGTTGCCTGAGTAGTCTGAACACCGGTACCAGAGCCAGAATTCACTTTCAGAAGCACGGTATTCGGCAAACGAACTTGGGTAGACGGTGTAGTCGACGACGCCGGAGAAGACGACTGTGAGATCATGGTAGTGCTAGCCTGATTTTGCTTTGCATGTAAAAGGCTGATAACACGTGTTTGCGCCTTGTTATTCTGCGCTCGATTGATCGCCATTTGACGTTGTACCTCGCGGATGATCCTCTGTTGCTCCTGTACTCGCCTGAGACGCTCCATTTCCTGTCTCTGAGCGGAGAGCGTAGCCTCGTCAAGTTGCGCCTCGTCCATCACTTCTCGGATGTTTCTTCGCATGTTGGCTAATTTCTTTTCCGACTTTAATTCACATTCCGACGTGCTACCCTCTGTATTACTGTCCTCTTTCTTCGCTTTTTTCTTCGCGCTGTCAGAATGATCGGAATCAGCGTGTCTCTTATTACTATCACCTTCCTCCTCTGCACTCTGTCCATCTCCTTTTTCGTTATCCAAACTCTCTTCATCGTCTGAATCCTTCGATATTGGCTTTCCTAGCAAATCGGCCTCAGACACTTCTTGGCCTTCTATGGGCGCTCCTTTTGATAATACAAGAATAAAATTATTAATATAAAGTAATATAATACAACAAAGATAATTTCAACTTTCTAATTATTTATAACTAAATAATTTTTATATTATAATTATTATAATGCACACATATAAAACTTTATTATAAAAAGTTAAAAAGCTATTATACTAAAAAAATATTATAAGATATATAATTATTTTATAATTTATAAAAAGCAATAAGAGTATATTATATTTTCGAAACTCAGTTTTAATTCATTAATTACCTTAATTATAATATAAAATTCTGAAATAAAATTAAAACAAAATTTTATTCTATTACTCTAATAATTCAATACTAATTATTATTATATTTTAATGAGATTCATTAAAACAGAATCATAAAATATTTATTATATTTTAGTTTAAATACGTTCATACTGAATACAGAACATATACTGATATGAACATTTTTCACCAACCTTCCAATGGCAAAGTGTCCAAGATGTTAACTTGTTCCTCATCATCCTCTTCTTGATGATGCTGCTGCCTGTCTGAGTCTATTCTAACACCAATCTGCGAGTCGATCGTTTCATCCAGATCCATATCGTCCCCCGAACCCTCGGAGCGTATCTCTTCTATTTCCTCGGACTGTAAAGCGTCGAGTTTTTTCTCCTGCTCTCCGTCTGTTGTTTCGCCGCTCGATTCATCCGAACTTTCGTCATTGGTCGCCTGCGGTTCCACATTCATGTTTGTACCGGTCGCAGCCTCATTCGTCATCATACTCGTTTCACTGGGCTTGGAGCCACCGCGAGGAGTCACACGTTCAATTGTGACGTCCCCGATGCGTGTCAGAAAGCTGTCCAGACTATTAGACATGGTGTGCACTGTCCGTTAAATCACAATGTATATCTTATTGATGTATATCATATCATGAAATGTCTCACACGCACTTGAAATATGATACTAATATCTATTAAGCTTAACACTTTCTATTTAACACATTACATGTCATTTAATATATTTCCTCCTACCTGTAATAAAATATAATCTTAATTATTATTTCATCAAGTGTATTAATTAGAAGATAGTTAGAAACTGCATTGTGTTAACAAAGATATCAAATAATATAATCTCTTATTGTTAGTCACAAAAAAGGTTACTATTTAAGATTATAGATACATGATATGAAACAATGCTGTGAATATTGCGTAAAAATATATATTGTAAAAGTGAAAAAGATCAAAGTTCTTAAAATAATAAAGATTGCTGTAATTCTCTTCTAAGTAATGTAAGCTTTACGCAATATAATTCAATCTTATTAATACATTCAATATAATTGAATTAAACACATAACAATAAACTAGTATGAAAACATGTAACAAATTTTGCTATATAAATCATTCTATTAGATTAATAATAAATGTTTTGACCAAATACACTTATTTGATAATACTTTTCTCAATTAAAAGCTATTGTTTATAAACATGTATACATAAAATATAAGTTTTGTAATCTATCAGATTATTTCAATGCAATACTCGATTAACACATAATATTCATTCACAGTAAGAAAATATCATATATCAATACATAACAATCGATAAATCTAAAATAAAGCACTAAAAAATTTGTAACTCTCATAGAATCTTTCTAGAATCAAATCTGCTTTGAGAGAATGTACAAAGAAATATACACTTACAACTTTTGACTCAAGAGAGTATCCTCTCGTAGCTTCCTATCAAAAACTGCTTGACCACACTGTCCATCGAACAACTGACTCAGTCCAGGGACACATCACGTGAGTCGTGCAATCTAAACATTCGGTTCCTTATACCGGATATAGATAATCAACGGTCCAGGATAAGCCACCGACAAGACGACGACGGTGATAAGTAGCTGTCAAACGTAATCGAGAAAAGGAAAAATGCTAGATAAAGGGAGTAGGCCAAAGTGTTTGTTTACGTGTTTACACGACAAGTCCCACGACGCCTCCGCCTATCCTACTCCCTAATCATTCACCTTCTCGTCTCCTCGTGGACGACGATCCTGGCGTTCCTCTTCCTCGCTCACTTTCTTCCTCAATCACACCGCTCGATCGGCGATCACGCGCGCACGAGAGACGCCATGGCCGGTCCTGGCTCTCGCGTCTAGATATCCTCGTCTCGCTCGGTGCCTCGGAAGCCGAGAGCGACGTCACGGCGCCGCCGTACCCTGGCGTCCAGCGAGCTCGGTCGCCCAGCCGGGTCGCGCTTCCATGCCAGGCCGCGCGCGAGGCAGGGAGAGGCGGAAGAAAAGGAACCTCGTTGTTTCGCGTCGCGCTGTACCGCACCTCGCCACGCCGCAGTCCCCGCCACAACTTAGGTTAACGCCGAGGATCGCCGAGGATGCGCGCACTGCTGCCGCCCCGATCCCTCACGCGAGCACCCCGCGCGAAGCGTTGACGATACCCTGTGGCATATTCCTCCTCTTCTTTTTTTTCTTTTACCCTCACGCGTTCCTGCCCGACAGCGTACTCCGCTCGGCGAACGCCATCTTGGATCTTGGCTGCACCATCGTTGTTGCACATCCGCCACGAATAAGCGCGCGAATGATGATCCGTGGGATGAATGGTCCAGGAACTGGACGAGCGAGTCTAGATGCGATATTTCGGACTCTACGTCGAGGAACGCTCGCCTCTCCGACCCGGTTGGTCGGATGTCAACATTTTTCATTTTTTTACACCTCGAGATTATTTGATTTCTTTCGAGAATTAATGAGAGATTTATTAATGCTAGACATTTTCAAATGTACGGCCTCTCGAGATCGTGATTTATGCTCATTCACCGTGTAAATCACAAGGACGCTAACAGCATGAAACTTTCTAATCTTTTCTATTGTTATATCCTCGATAGCCGCGCATTTTAAAATATTTATTCATTTATACACGTTATTTGATATACAATTTTTATATCAATATTAAAATATTCAGAGGAGTCATATAATCATTAGATTACTTGAAAAAAAGATCCTCCTTTCTGTAAATTAGAATCATAATTCATAATTATTATTAGAAATAAAATTGCATTGTTTGTATTTTATATAACTCAAATTATTTTTGTTAAAAATGGAGAGAGTTTTGAAACATCCTGAGAGCTATTTATGACAATTACAAAAATAAAAAAATATAAGATATTTATATCTCTCTGTATATCTATGTCAATTTTTTATATAAAATAAAATGTATATATACAATGTGTGTATATTATAAACAATTTTTGTATAAAACTTATAATTGCATATACTAAATATTCGACATATACATTACATTCACACATATATCATATAATTGTGTTCAAAAATATTTATGTTCTTCCTGATATAATAAAGTTTCGTCTAAATTTCTAAAATTTAAACGTTTTTAATCTGAAAGATTATACATTACACATTATTATTCAGTACTAAATGTGACTATAGAACTAGAGTAGATCTCATATTCATGTAAGATCAAGATCATCTTTTATTGGAACAGTATTATGCATACATTTAAGATATTGATAAACAATGATAATAATCATTGTTTTACAATCGAACAAAGCCACATTTAGCATATATTATTTATATATATATATATATATACCATTACATATATATATATACCTTTTTTATAAAACAGATAGCTTATATGAAAGATAGCGTGTTAGTAAAAAATCTTAAAAATGTGACAAGAATGTTCACTTATAACATACAGAAATCTTGTAAAAATATAATATCTATGTCTGATAATTCTTTAATTCGCACTTTCACAGGCATCAATCCAATCGTTATATACATCTAAAGGTTCCGATAATAAATTTATCGTCGTTTGAAAATCCTCCAAGCATACTCTGCAAGTTATTCTTGCAGTACTCCTTGATTTATCCCTGAAATCATAAAGTTGTTTAGTAGAAAGAAATTAATTTAAATTAATCGATAAATTTATATATTATCGCTTTATCAAATTACTATAAGACTCTGAAATTCATGTAGTAAACTGACAAAATAAACGTGATTCTCTACATAAACTAAATCAACATTACTTTATAAACTAATTACGAATATCGAGAAAACTTAATCGAGTATAAATTAAATCAACTTTTGCTACTGCAAAACGTAATATTTGTGTGATTTAATTTCAAGATATTTGCGAATTTTACATACATTTTAACATCGCACGACTTTTCATGATTGCAAAAAGGACAATTGAATTGTGTGTCTAAGGGTTGAATGGCCTTCTTCTTACTGGGCGGTTTTCGTTTACTCTTACGTCGACCCATCTTGTCGCCAATCAATCAAAACTATATTTCGATCGTACGAAATATTAATTGACCGATATCGGTAATCTTTTCGCTGTATTTTGACAGGTTATGTTTAGAACGCGAATTGCGTTGTTAGGTTAGATCAATTTCTTCCCGTACGAGTGTCGAGCACGATATCAATAATAAGACATCAAGTTCAATAATTGATTATAAAGTCCTTCGCATGTAAAATTATTTAATTTTTTAACATCTTTCTTCTTTTAAACGTCAAACAATTCTGATTATTCTTTCGAAAGTTTAGCGCCCACGCCACGATATCTATACATACATACATCATGTGACGTCATAATACCTGCTGTCACTGCGCCATGCATCACGCATGCGTAAAAATAATCTGACCTAAAGGCGCTATTTACATCGAGCGATAAATTTGTTGATTGGTTATCGGATAGGGAATTTCTTGTTTCTTGATAGAAATTTTAGGGATATTTTTCACATATGTTTTTATTTGATGGTACTTTGTACTTCTTGTTGACACTTGATACATTTCGATACACATATATATTGAATGTTTCCAAAATAAAAAGAATGAATAGAAAGGCCTTCCCCATAGTTTAGTTCTTTTCTTCATCGTAATAACTACGTATTTATTTTCGTAGGTTTTTTTTTAATCAGTGTAGGATAACTAATTTTATATTTAAAAAGATATATATACTGTATATACATATATATATATATAAAATATATAATTATAAAATAATTTTTTTAGAGAAAAAAGAAAAGTAAAAAGGGATATTTTTATAAAACGTGCATTTTTAAATTAATTGTTAAGAATGGTGACGAAACAAAGTTATGATTATGGAGCAATCTTAGAGCGGCATCCTGAAATTATATTAGTATCAGAATCACCTGTCACTTGGTATGGTTTTTTAATCATTTCGCATTCATTGTGCACTGCATATGATTTCCAAAGTCCCAGAGTAAAATTAAAATTAATCATGTCCGCTTATCCATCATTTGAACAAGCACATATAGAGTTTGGTAGACAAATAGCTTCTCTGCGAAATAAAGAATTCCATAAAAGGGTGAAACAATTAATGACTACATTCAAGTCTGAACAAACAGTATCTTCATTTTTAACACAGTTACAATCACTTATTGTAAGTATAAAATGTTGATATAGTTTTGCTTGTTTTTAACAATTCTATTATGATTATATATTTGCAAACAGGGAGAATATATGCACAATACTAAGACTCTCATACCTAATCCTGACACTATGAGATATTTCCTACAAGAATTGAAAGCAGCTCTTCATCATTTACCTGTATGTAAATTTATATAAGATGTAGTCTTTCTTTTTTCTATAAAATCTCATAACTTTAGCATTAAATGTTACAGGATATGAAGATATCATCTGATCAAAATTTAAGTATTATCAAATTACACTATAGAGATGTATCTATTACATTACAAAGATGTAATAATACTGAACTTCCTTGGACAGTTATTGCTTCTGATTTGCCTAATATTCCATCATTTGAAGGCTTTGAGAAGAATGTAACTAATTTGAGTGTTGCAAAGACTAAATTCAAATGGCAAGTGGAAATATTGAGAAAAGCATGGGAACAATTAGAAGAAATTGATGAGTGAGTATTAATCATATTCATAAATTACAAGAGAATATTTTTTTTTACTTCTAGAACTCTTCTAAAAATAATATATAATACTATTTTTTATTATTTTTTGTTGCAATTATATCAAATCATTAATTTTTGCATTAAATATATTAATGTGAAATAAAAGAAATTGCTGGGTGATCGATCCATTGAAGCCAAATAAAAGCCACATGTATAGACGCATCCATTTGTCTCAGTCTTTATCTGTAACAATTATAATAGATGATCCATCGAATCCTTTGCCAATAATTAAATTCTTAGGGAGCGACAATGAAGTAAAACGACAAATGGATGATGTTTCCAATAATATTCATGTAAGTTTCATATGTATGCATAATGTAAGATAACTGCAATTTATTTGTAATTAACATTAATATATTGATTTTACAGAAGTGGAATTATGATTGCAGTATTTTTGAAAACCTAAAAATGCTGTTAAATATGTATGAATTTTCTGACCCAGAAAGTATAGAAGAGAAGAACGTCGTTATCAATAATCGTGAGTGCGGTATATGTTTCTCGGACGAATTATCAGACAAAATATGTAATAATGAAAAATGCATGAAACATTTTCATTCAGCATGTTTATCAAGGGTATGTAATTGCAATATACATAACATATATTAATAACATAAATATATTTCATTTATATAATACAAATTGTTACCTATAATAATGCCAACACATATATATACATAACTTTTTTTTAACAATAGTGGTTACAAACAAACAGTGGAAATCAAGTTGTGTTTGACCATATTTATGGCACCTGTCCATATTGCAAGGAAAAGATTTCCTGTTCCATTAAACAATAAAAAGGTAGATATTGAATTTGCATATTTATATTTTATTCAAATATATGTATATATGCATAATTCATTTCCTGAAGCCATTCTTTCATGATCTGATTAAATTCTAAAGTTCCACATATCAAAATTAATGTTGTTTCTGTATCATTACATTGGAGATAATCAGCAACAAGTGATTTGCTCAAACGACCTGAATTGATATTAAAACCATGAAGACTGACTGTCTTGTCTAAAACAATATTTGGAAACAATATTTTTAGTGGCTCTTATAACTTATGTAAATCTACTTCAATTGTTTAGATGTGTACAAATTATCAATATTTATGATATATATCAAATTGTGAAAAAATTTATAACTCAAAATGCACAATAATTACAGGACATTCTATGTATACAATTTTATTATGAATTTACTTGCTGTATTGTGTTTCAATTACATACCATTTAATTGGGATAGCTGTAACGTGCATTTAAAATTCCAATAATCCACTAGATGCCTTAATTCTTTTTTCAAAGGTACATGTGACACCGATTGAAATCCTGCGATAAGATGTATCCTTGTCAATTCTGTTTCATCATCAACGATCATTTTAGCAATGGGATAAAGTGCTGCTATTCCCGAACCGATACTGAACATAACAATCTGTCGAAAACTATCATAACAGTGTGAGTTGTGACACAATTTTATAATTATGTGAACAAATAAATCTTCACATACCTGTTACTCTTATATTTAAAATCTCCATATGGACCTCTAATATCAATTGCACTGCCAATTGATGCATTTTGAGGCGCAAACTAAATTCACCTTGTTTATATGATTTTACTAAGAAAATTAAGTTATTATACGTCCAAGCAATTGGTGTATATGGACGAGACATGCACCAGGAATGTAAAATAACATACTGTCCAGGTGTAATGTGCAATCTAACATCATTTTCTATTTTATACTCTACACAATAAACAAATAGTTTTTTTTTAAATAAGATGTATATTTTTTATCTTTCAAGTATAATGATTGCATTAAATATAAATATTGTATTTATATGAATAATAGTCTATTCAAAATTTTACTATTTCTTTGTGTGTAATTGAATAGTATAGTAGTAATTTGATATAAATTTAGTCTACATTTAGTGATGTAATTACTTTTTTTTTAACTTTTTATGTGATATATTTTATTGTATCTTAGTTATTGATTTGAAGATAGTAATACCTGGGCATTTTAATTGAACCAGAAAATAATCCCTTGAAGTTTCAGATATATCGGTGACAATAAATACTTTATAAGATAGAAGAGATAATAAATTATTACTTATTTTAACTTTTACATTTTGTGTCTTCCTACTTTTCCATTCTTTCAGCAATGCTTTATGAACATCAAAGATACATGGTGTACATCCAGTGCCACAACAATCCTCGTCCAGTGGTGTTTTAGGTCTATTATCATCATTGTTATAATCACTCGAACTCATGTTGGATACATTTTTTATTGAATTATTATCTTCCAAAAAATCTGAAAAGCATAAATACAAGTTATACTGTTTGTTCCTTCTAATTAATAACCTTATTGCAAAATACAATATTGCTCACCAAGATTTTAATATAAAGAAAACATGTGAATTGTGAATTTTATCTATCATCCATCTAAAGGTTATGAGACGTGAAAGGGTTTAGTCAACCAATCACAATCAAGTATTCTCAAACGCAGATAAATTCGACTGTGATTGATCGATTTGATTATAAACTTTTACATATATTACAGCAATATAATATCTTTTTTTATATAAAATTTTATATAATAAACCACTTTATATCCTATATTTGTTCGTATATAGCATTAATCATTATGCAAGTCATCTGTACAAGAAATACATGTCGCGACTTGAAAAGACACCTAATTGCTTCAAGTATTTTTTTCAAGCGTGATAGCGTGATAATCAAGTGTATGCATGTGTATGTATGTACATCTCTCTCATACATTTCGCTAATAAACCCATGAACTGTGAACTTTGAATAATATAAAATATACCACGTCATTATATATGTATATATATTGATATAATTTTGAATAAGAATTTTGGAGACATAAAATTCGAGCGAGATGACACCAGGAAGAAATAACACAATCAACAGCAATCAGCTCAGGAATTCTTCCAGCATTTCGTCCAAGTGAGATCTCTGAAATGAATATTAATATGCATATTAATTGCCTATTTATGAGGTCATATTGAATTTTTAAAGGACTTATTTTTATTATCTTATATAAGTTTTATATTGTACAGATCTATATCAATGATATTGTTTAACTATTTAATAAAGTTTCTTTTTTAATTTTTTCACAAATAGAAAATCTCTTGAAGGTTAAATAGTTTAAACATTAACTATTTCCAACAGAATTTTTGATCAGATTTAATATTTGTTTTTTTATTTTCTATCTATATATTTGAAATATATAATATGTAAGTATATATTTTTCTTTTTATAATTTTTATTACATCCAGATTACTATAAATTCATTGCATAGATTGATTTCTATCTTAATAATATTGAAACAAATTATACAAATTGTTAATATAAATGATAACAATTAGTTAAGAGGAATGCATCAAAAAATAAAATAACCTTAAATAAATAATCTTATCTATTCAGCATGCCAGGACCATCCTTTCAAACTTTTGGAACAGCTATTCCACCTCCATTACCACCTCGCCAACCTGTTCAAAACTATTTAGGATATAGTGATTACAGACCATATAGCTCAAACTATTATGGAAATTATGGATATGGTGGTGGTTACAGTGGTTACAGGGGTTATGGTGGATATGGCTCTTTTGGAAGTTACGTTCCTTATTCTGGTAACAGTTATGGACAATTTGGAGGACACAGTGGTGATGTAGAAAACAGGTATGTTATAAAAAAAATTTATAAATATAATTTAATTTGTGCCTTAATTATCAAGATATATAATATTAAGGAAAACAAAGATCATAAAACTTTCCAAAAGATTAGGTTTCTTCAAAAAGAAGACTAAAGAAATTATTATAATTATTTTATGATATATAGTATTGATCCTCTAAGGATGTAACATTTATTTATTGATTCTATTCAGTCTATACAGATAAAATTGAAGAAAATGTGTGATTAAAATGAATAGATATAATAGATATGAATTATAAATTAGTTTATCAATATATTCTTCTTGAACGCCATAAAATCTTATTTTTCGCTTTAAAAAATCTCCAAATTTATCCAACATTATTTAACTAATAAATAATTTGTTTTGCATGCTATAGATTTCAACAATATGCAGAAGAAAGTACGAGGTCGACTTTCCGTGTAGTGGAAACAGTTTTACATACATTTTCATCTATTACAATGTTATTGGATTCAACATATTTTGCTTTGACAAGTTCCTTCAGAGCATTCTTAAGCGTGGCAGATAATATCGGCAGACTACGGTCAACATTTGGGCAACTGTTAAGCACATTTGCTTTAATTCGAGTTATGAAATGGATTTATAGAAAAATTTTATTTATGCTTGGTAAGAGCTTATTGCTTATTGCAGCTGAAATTTCTATAATTTATGTAACATTTTCTCATAATTTATATAACATTTAATAATGAAAATTAAGATTTAATAATTAATTATTCCTTTACTCTTAGGTCTTCAAAATATGCAAAATGTTACACCAGAAGATTTGTGGCAGCAATCAGTGGCACAAACGACAAACGAAGAACATACAATGCCGATGAACGGACGGATTTCTTCATGGATGAATATTCTGTTTCTTGGTATATTTGTTGCTATTCCATATTTAATTCACAAGATATCAAATAGTATGAAACAGACTGAAATAAAAGGTAATTATATTTTTTTATTGTTTCTCTATAATGAAAATTTATAAATGAATATATTTTTTAAATAATTATTTATATCTAGTTTTCTTCATAACTAAAGTCTTACATTTAAAAAAAGTCTAACCATTTTAAGTTGATACTCTTATATTTTCTAAAATTCAATTTAAAAAATTTTTTCTTTATAATTTCTGATATTTTTAAGATATACTTTAATTTTAGTATTTTAATATTTTTTTGTTTTTTTATAAACATATTGGCAAATTTACAGTTAATGATCCAAATGAATGGGTCAAGTGTGAAGATCCTGTATGCGTAGCGACTGCAATGTATGATTTCACGGCGGTTTCTAATGAAGAATTGAGTGTCAGAACTGGTCAAAAAATATGGTTGGCGCCACGATCTCTACAGTCAAAAAGTATACCAGGTTGGTGGATAGCCACTGATAATAGGAGTGTTGGTTTAGTGCCTGCTAATTATGTAACTATAGTGGGACAATTGAAAAAGAAATCAGAATTAGAAAGTAATGGAAATGCCACTGAGTCTACACTAATTCCAAATTCCAATATGAAAAATGTAATAGCTTCTAATAACGAGGCTGAAACAACATATATAAGTACACTAGAACCTAGCACCAGCCAACAAAATACTGATTTCTCTGAAACTAATATTAAAAACGACTTACTTTAGTTTAAATGTAGGGGATAAGGATAAGGATTTACTTTAATCTAAACTTAACTATTTCAATATGTAGTCACACAATCTTAAGCATATATGTGGCCTATAAAAATCTTTATGAAAGACATGACTGATATTCTTAAATAACATAAATCTTATATAATGTATCAAATACGCCGTATATTTACTGAATATTAAATAAGCAGCAAGCTCTGTTTCAATATAAAAATTGAAGGATATTATAGAAGTTTATTTATTAAAACTTTTAATGAGAATGTCTTTATTGAAATTTCTCTTTTTGTAAAATAAGGATACCACAGACTTCACTACTTTTAATTTATATAATATTTTACATTTTAAGTTGCAACAGAAATTTTTTTGTATATAATATGTGGTTATATGTAAAGAAAATTTGTTAAATATTTAATTTAAAATTAAAATTTTTAATTAAAGAAAAAAGACAAAGGATAAAGCAGTTACATTGCAAATGTTGATGCACGAACGATATTTCTAATTAAATTTTATGAGAATGGGATATTTCAAATATTAGATTTAGTGTATGGTTTATTGTGCTTTTTCATCAGTTATTATTGTATGATTTTATGCATTTTTGTAACACAAAACAATTGTTAAATTGTGTCATAAGTTTTCTTTGTAAATAAGATATTGTATTTATAATATATATATCACAATTGTATATTCTAAAATATTCACAGATCAATATAATCGTGTTTTATATCTGAAAATAGCCAAATGGCATAGAGTTTATTATAATATTATACCAAAAAAGTTTAATACATATAGCTCAAAATAATAGAATCTCTGTACAGTCAAAAAAATATTTGATATAAAAAACATTGCCAATTATGGAATTCTAGTAAACTTACGAACTTCGATATATATAATCTTATTAAAAAAATTATAGATTTAAAATTATTTTCTATTTAAAAACTATATACCTAAACATGCATATAATTTTTATTTAACATTGACTTCTATATGATAAAGATAAAATTGTTTTAATTAGTAAATTAGAATTAGTGTATTTTCTGATTGCTAGCAAATTAAAAAATCCGCTCAAAATATTCTACAGATTATTCGGGATGCAATATTATTTAATACATGCAATATAAATTTTGTATAACTTTAATTTAATTAATTTTGTAATTTGATGACTACTCTTTTCTACTAGCTTTGTTTAATTGCACATACATTTTATAATAAAAGAGAAATATTGTACATAAATGCAGTTTATAGATATATGTATTCTTACAAACATGTAATATTGTAATATAAAATAATAAATTTGCAAGATTGACAATGTTGATTTAATATTTTTTTTAACATTGACAATGTTTCTCTTAGTTTTAGATAAAAAATTATATTATTTATCAAATAATTAATAGATAAATTATGCGAAATTGGTATTTTAATCGATAAATTCAGCAAGTTGACATATTATACTTATATTTATTTATTTTTAGATTTTTTATTTATTTAGGAAGCACTGCATTAATCTAAAGGAATATAATTAAGTAAAACAAGCAAAACAGTTAAGCTGCTCATCAATATATTTTTGAGAACCAGAGAAAGAATGAAATTGTCTGTAAAATAAAAGAAATCTTAATTAAAATATTAATCATACAAGCAAATATATAGAAATTTGAATAATTTTCATGTAAAATATGAGACAAAATGAAGGATATGAATACAAGCTACTGATTGCTCATCATTAATTATAATTGTTAAAAAATTTTCAAATTACAATGTATTCAATCATGTATGTACATATTATGTTACATACATGCATTCATCAAGAATAATTCTCTTTTAAACATTTATTCTATAAATTCAAAGAAATTTTATTTATAAGTTAAATTCGAAATATAAGGCATACGACAATGTAACGTAGATACCATATTTTGCAGACAGCACCTATAATTATATTCTATATTTTATAAGATGCTGATATTAATCAAAATCTTCACAAAATACTTCTTTTTGATAACGTTAAAAATAAAGATACATTATCCAAATTTAAAATATGCCAAATATTTGTAACACTCTTGACAAAATAATAAAATATAAAATTGCACACTATTTTAGCATATTTGTAATCACATTGTGAGTTTATTATCATAGTTTCTTCATATATCATTCATTTAAACAATTATCTTAAACTAATTAGATATCAATATCATAACGCAAAAAAAGAAACAAATTATCTTAAATTGCATTTTTATATTATAAATTATAATTTAAGAATAATCTTTATTCTTATCTATAAATATTCGCTTCATTATGATGCAACATAAAGCTTGCGAAGTCACAAGTCTTATAATGTTTTTGACTAAGGCAAGTTCGAATTGCTCTAGAAGCCATTTGATCTAATTTTTACGAATTAGATACGAATATATATTTTTAACAAGGATAAAGAATATATTTTTATATATTTTATGAATATATTCAGCGCATAATTATAAAGTATTTCTCAATTAAATATTTAGTAAACATCTAAAAAACGTCATATTAAATCTTAAACACTTTTAAATGCCAAAGCAAATTGAAATTGAAAAAAAATTATATCTTGTAACTTCCAGAACAATTTAAACTTTTCAAATGCTTTATCCAATCAATTACCTCTCTAAATGCTAAATTATTCTTCATTTTTTCACTGATAATTTAATAAATAATTTTGACAATGTGCTTGCAACAAGATTTTGTATAGATATAAAAGACATTTATTATTTCAAAGCATCACATATGAGTTATAGTTTTGCATTTGAAAATTTCTGGATTTAAAGACATATAATGTACGATTTTATTTTCAGATTGTAAGGGAAAAAATGGAAGTTTTATCTCAATTTTACATTTCATTCATGTTGAAAGTTAAAAAGTTTATAATTAAAGATTTAGAAAAAATGATATTTACATATACGCACACACATACATACATGTACACACATACACACACATGGTATAAATTCACAATTTGTCATTTTCAAAATCATTGTCCGTGATGTAATTTCAGAGCCATTAATCGATATAGTGTTTCCATTAATATATCATGTATTTCTGTTTAATAAAGTTTTACTCATTTGCTAGGGGAAGCTAACTAATTCATAACAGTTCTTTTTGTCAGGATATAACATATGACTAACAATAGGAGACTTTTATGTAATTTTTTACACTGTATATTCATAATCTGCATTACAAAAAGTGTATTTAAACTTCTATGGCCAATTTAACATTCGGTCTTGAATTTTCTTTAATAAAAACTAAAACAAATTATATAAATAAATTTATATATAATTAACAAATTATATATTTATATATAAATTATATATAATTAAAACAAATTATATATAATTATATATACGTATATAATTAAAAACAGTTATTTAAAAAATATTCAAGACTGATAATGCTACATATATTTAGAAGGTAGATAGAAGAATTCATAAAGAATAAAACAAAACATTTTCTGTAATAATTTTTGTTTAGGTTAACCTGTGTAATTAGCATCATGTCATTTAACAATGCTATTATGCTATGTTTGTGATAGTGTAATTTTCTCCATTGTTCCCCTGTATTGCCATTCCAGTTGCAGCTTTGCACAATCCATACAAGAATCATCTTGTATTAAAGATGAAACATTTCACGTGAACACATCATCAAGTTGCTTTTACATATAACATCCCTGAGCTTCCTGTAGGCAACACAATATTCACATCGCATCTAAAATTACCATTCAGCGTCTCCATTTGCTTTTTGAAATACATAGTCTTTCCCACTTAAATTCATTATGCCATCCTTGAGATAGAACTTCCACTTATTTCGACTCCTTGTTATCTGAAAACAAAACGATATTATATAAATAAATTGAAATAATATTTTCTCATATATATATATATATATATATATATATATATATATATATATATATGTAAAGATAAATATATCATATCTTATACCTTATCATACTGACAGACTACTACATTATCTGTCTCGAAGAGCTCAGCAGGATCATCATCTGTAACGTCATCTTCGGAATTTAAAGGTTCCTAGAACAGACCACTTTTTGTAAGACAATTCAAAGTTGAAATTTATTTATAAACATTAATTTCTCTATGCATATGGGAGCGATTAAATGTGTGCATGCATACACACGAGCAAATATACACATGCACACATTAGTTATGAGAATTAGTAAGGAATAGATTTAATAGTTCAAAAAATTGTGAAATCAGGAAAATATTTCTAATTAGAGAAAAAGCAATGAACTAGTATTATTGTTAACCTCTTCACGAGCTCCTGCTTCATCATTTTCCTCTTCTTCTTTTTCATCAAGATCCTCATCATCATCATCATTATCATCTTCTTCTTCTTCATCATCATCGTCAGTAGAATCACCTACTCCTCCATCTAATTGATTTATATTATTCTGTTGGTATAAAAATAAAGAAAACATGTTATTTTTTTATAAGTATACACACATACATTTCTCTATTGTATTTGTTGTATATAAATGACATTAATTTTATCATCTTTATTTTATAATAAGAAATTACATTATCTTAAAATATACTGTCTTACTTGGTTTTGTGACCTTTGTGTTGCAACGCTATTTGTATTTTGAGTGACCACTTGAAGCGGTTGATTTACTTGCAATGGAGCTAATGTTGCTTGCCCTTGCAATGTAGAATTCACATGTTGTTGCAATAAAGTCGAAGCTAAATTTGCTGGAAGACCCATAGCTGCAGAAATGACGGGACCTGTTAAAATTGTGTGCAATTGATTTCCTAAAAGAGAAATTTTTCTGTTATTTACATAATTAATACATTAAATTCTTTAAGCATTAATAAATTTCAGTAGTATTAAAAATTATATATTCATAGAAAAAGTATATATAATAAATTAATACATAATTATATAATTATTAAAATTTATTTTTTGCCACAAATTAATGATAAACTTTCTACTGACATACACACACATATAATATAAAAGATTTTTACCTTGAAGAGCAGATGCAGGAACTTGTATGCTTAAGATCCGTTGTGGTCCATCGGGAATGCCAGGTTGTGGAGGTAAGGTGATCTGTATGGGTACTTGTCGATCAAGTACAGCAGCTGGTGCAGTTACCACTTGTTGCACTGGTGTTGTCGAGTGTTGCTGTGGCTGCTGCTGACATGACATTTCTGTAAGATTTGTATGTTGCTGCGGTTGTGTCGGCTGTTGTTGCTGCTGTGATTGTACTTGCTGCTGCTGTTGTTGCTGTGGTTGTTGTTGCGATTGTTGTTGAGGTTGTGTTTGCGGCACTGCATTTCCGGGAGATGGTTGTACAAAATGATTTCCTACATTAGTTATTACAACATCAAATCTATATGTAACAATCTACAGGATGTATTGATTCAAAACATCCAATAGATGGAATGCCTTGTATAATCTAAGTTATTTATCCTTAAGTATTTTATCATAATACAAATTTTTTGCAAATTTGTTAACATTTGCTATATTTATTTCTAGCAAATATATATATATACCTTTATTGACAGATACAGCTTTGTGCGTGTTGATTTGAGGAACTTGTGGCTCTGGTGGGTCTGGATTTAATTCCACAGCCTTGCTAGCCATCAATTTTGCTTCCCATATCTGTTTAAGTTCTTGGAGGACTTGCTCATCTACTCCTTCGTCTATAAATGATTCTCGCACTCCTGCTATTACATCTTCTATCACAGTATTGTATAATTTTAGCTGTAACACAGGATTTATTCTTTTAATATCAAACTTATAAAGGATGCAGATTGAAAAAAATGTCTGCTAAGTTTCCATATTGGCTCTGCCAGCCTAATTTACTAATTATACTAATAGAAACATGTTATATAAGAATGAGTTCGCAAATGTGTTCTCTCGAAAACGGACATCGAAAGTTACACATAAAACGAAAAGATTCCAACGTTTTGAATAATTCATCAAGCGTGTAGACATTTAATATTGCTTAAATATCGTAACGAAGAATATAATTGCAAATGTTTAAATATCAAACAGAAATAGAAATAACGATCTCTTCAAGGCAACGTCAAATATCACTTATTCGCTCGAAAGTTTTATTCGAATCTCGATATTTTTCTATTAATATGCAACTTTTGATACGAGCACGAAATTCACGTTTCGAGGTTAGAAAATCCGATCCTCGATCTACCTCAAGATTGGGTTTCCGACAGCCGGAGATCAGCGGACGGGCGTCGATCGGGTGAAGGAGCGCGAATATCGCGGGACGTTCGAGCGTCCAGGAAAACGCGAAAACACTCGTCTTCGTGGAAAAAAAAAGAGTATAAGTTCCTATCTACGTGTACATTTACATATTCAATTTTACTCACTACGCTTGTCTGGCTGAGGGCCATCGTGGCTGACAGTCGGGGACGACGACGGTCGCTCGACCCAGGAAGCAACGCCAACAACGATACAGTTTAAGTAAAGCCACACGTTCGCATTCATACAACGCGCAACAGCATCCACTCACATCCACTTCGCCATCGTCCATCAGTCACTTTCGGCGATGTCAGACATGCGCAAGACGCAAATACGGGATGCGCACTCTTTCGACGCGAGCCAATCGCGTCGCTCGGTTGACCGCGGCAACCGAGCGTTCGACCAATCAGAGTCTTTTGTGTCCGATCGAGCGTGACGGATAAGTGTAGAAGGTGCAGAAAGCAGAAGTAGAAGGAACAGACCTTGTACTTCGTATTTGCTGTCAAAAATTGTCAGTGTACAATAGTATTATTATTGAAAATAAGAGAAAATATAATAAGAGTATGTACAACTAAGTATATAGATAAATTTGCAATTAAAATAATTGAATCTTATTTACTAAATATATGGATTTAGCGGAACAAAAATAAATGTATGTTATTCACGTATGCACACATAATCTAGGATAAAAAGATATATACACTTATCAATTGATACGCTTTATCTGTCATCAAAATGAATGTTGTTACTGCTTTGAAATTTTATATAACAAAAATGACAGAGGACAGCGGTCCTGGTATGAAAATTCTGCTAATGGATAAACAAACGGTGAGGATAAAGATTATTATAAATCATGTGTAAGTTTGGGAAATTTCACCTTTTTTTATTTTCAGACAAGTATAGTCAGCTTACTTTATAGTCAGTCAGAGATATTGATGAAAGAAGTATATTTATTCGAACGAATAGATACTGCTGTACATAATGATACTTTAAAACACTTAACATGTATAGTATTTGTAAGACCAACTAAGGAAAATATAGACTTGCTTTGTAAAGAGCTCAAATATCCTAAATACGGAGTCTATTATATTTGTAAGTATTGTGGATGCAAGTTTATGAAATAATAGAAAATATCATAGTATGTATTTAGAGTAAGAAACAATATTATTAATGCTATTTATTTCTATTAGATTTCAGTAACATTATTGCAAAAGCAGATATAAAACTTTTGGCAGAAAGCGATGAACGAGAAGTAGTTAGAGAAGTACATGAATATTATGCAGATTATCTAGCGATTAATCCACATTTATTTTCACTTGGAATAAATGCTTGCTCCGAAGGTAACTTAATTTTACACAAATTTGTGCAATAAATTGATAAATTGTTAAATGAACATTATTTTTCATAATTATAACTCTCAAGGGCTTACATGGGATCCAGCACATTTACATAGAACTGTCCAAGGAATAACTTCAGTTTTATTATCGCTAAAAAAATGTCCATATATTAGATATCAAAATAGTTCTAATATGGCAAAGAGATTAGCAGAAAAAATAAGGGAAGTGCTCAGTAAAGAGTCCAGTTCTTTTGAATTCAGACAGGAATCTAATCCCATCCTTCTAATAGTCGATAGAAGAGATGATCCTGTTACACCTTTATTGAACCAATGGACATATCAAGCAATGGTGCACGAGCTGTTGACAATCAATAACAATCGAGTTAATTTGTCTCATGTGAAAGGTATTTCAAAAGAACTGAAAGAAGTTGTTCTTAGTGCAGAACATGATGATTTTTATGCAAATGTAAGAAAATTTTTAATACTTTAATCATAATATTCATATTTGAATCATTAGCAGAAATAGTAATGTAAATCAATAAATATTTTTGTATACATATTTTATAATTATTTTATATAATAATATACTTTATTTTTTGGTGAAGAACTTTTCATGTTAAGAGAATGAATTTTTCAACAGAACTTGTATCTGAACTTTGGTGAAATTGGGCAAACGATAAAAGAATTAATGGAGGAGTTTCAAAAGAAAGCAAAAAAGCATCAAAAAGTGGAAAGTATTGCTGACATGAAACACTTTGTAGAAACATATCCACTTTTTAAGAAACTTTCTGGCACTGTATCAAAACATGTCACTGTAGTCGGAGAACTTTCGTCTCTTGTCGAAAAGCATAATTTGTTAGAAGTATCAGAATTGGAACAGGAACTGAGTTGCCAAACTGATCATTCCTCACAGGTAAATTATTAATATCTATAACATGTTTTTACATTTATGCATATTTCTTAATATTTATTTATAAATATTTATAGCTGCAAAAGATAAAAGCACTTATCAATAATCAAAAAGTACGAGATATCGATACCGTTCGACTTGTCATGCTGTATGCGCTTCATTATGAAAAACATGCGAGCAATGATATAAATGGTTTAGTGGAATTACTTAAAAAGAGAAATGTTTCAGATAAATATATTAAGGTATTCTTTCTGTTATAATTGATTGATATTTTCATGTAAAAACATATATCTATGTAATATTAAAATTTTATTTTTAGCTTGTATATAATATATTAGAGTACAGTGGTGTTAATGCAAGACAGAGTAATTTATTTGATCGAGAAGCAGTTGCCAAAATAACTAAAAAATTATTCAAAGGATTAAGTGGGGTAGATAATATATACACGCAGCATTGTCCTTTAATAAGTGAAACATTAGAGGACTTAATAAAAGCAAGATTAAGTACACAAGCTTTTCCATATCTTGGTAATATGATAATGTCGCGAAGGTAAATTAATTATGTATTAAATAGAAATGCAAACATTACATATACATTAAATATTAATCGATTAATGCATGAGTCTATCTTTTTAGGCCTCAAGATATTATAGTATTCATGATTGGAGGTGCTACTTATGAAGAAAGTTTGGCTGTTTATAATTTAAATAGGCAAAATCCGGGAATAAAGATTATTCTAGGAGGTACTGCCATCCACAATTTTAAAAGCTTTGCAGAAGAAGTACACCATGCTACTAGCGGTATATTAATGCGGTATAAAATCGGAAAAAATTAATGATGTTGAGAAATATCATCATATATCTCAAAATATTTATTCGTTATATATTTTGGTATCTATACATCATATAATATCCTTTTCTCTCTTTATCAAGAATCTAGTATTTCACACCAAGAATTTCCAAATCACTGTAACATATTACATGAAACAAGGTCCTCTCTTTCTTTTATAATTACACATTTTCTATTTCTATCATAAAAACAATTTCCATTTTGCTAATTATTATTCATCATCCTCATCATCCAACATGTATTCTGTCGGCATATCTGAGATTTCATCATCCTTTATTGGTACCTTTAACAAACATGCATTATTTTAATTATTTAATGATAAAGATATATGATATACTTGTTAAATTTGTTATCTAATCTATGCATTTTTTATATAAGTTTAAAGGAGAAATGTCATTTTTGTATTGCAATTTATCTTAATTATCTTGATAATGTATATTATCTCTTTCTACATTATCTTCATAATATATATAAGCCTTAAATAAAAATACTGTTAAAATAAATTTCATTTAAAACTAAATAAAAATTAAGATTTTTTCATCTCTAAAAATTAATACATTCTTAATTACTCATTGTTTAAAAATTATCAATTTCTCAATAATTTATTAAGGAGTAATTTTAAATTTATATTGTTTCTGTCATGTTTATCATTGATGCACATCATGATATAAAATAATTAATGTGCATTAAATATAATTGAATATTTTTATCAAGTGTATCAGTGAAAGTTCTATATCACTTTTCTTAAAAATATTTTGCAAGTATAATTTTGTGTATGTATATGTCTGTGTCTATACTGTTATATATAATTATTTATAAAAATATAATTTTTCAAACACACAGACTAAATAAAAATAATATTTATAAATAACTCATTGTACATATATATGTGTGTAAACAAAATAAATTCATAATAATATAATGAAAATATGTTATAAAAAACGAAAATAATGTATAAAGTAATGTATTATGTGTATAAAAATTGATATTAATTGGTTAATTTCCATGTATAAAAATATATTATCAACGTGCAGCTAATACTCACGTTTTCTTTTCTTCTTAGGAACCTTAATAAATTTTCTGCTTCTTAATAAATATATTAGCACCTACAAATAAAGCTACTTGTAGCTTCAATGTCAATATTTGCATTATTTTATCTTTAGAAAGATCTATTTTAAAAAAGCGTACTTTTTTTTAATATAAAGTAACTTTTTCTTTTTATATTACAAATATATATTTCATTATTATTGCATTTTGTTATGTACAAATGAATGCAATCCAATATCAAAATAAATATACAGAAATAATTATTAGATAATTTTTTTTGTTACTGAATATTTTTTTAAGCAAATAAATAAGATTTGTATCAATGTAAATATTTCAATTGCAATATTGCATATATACTCAATATATATATATATATATTTAAAAAATGTCGATATAAAAAAAATAGAAAAACCAATTAATATCTAACAAAACTTTATACTTGTAAGTATTCCTACAAGTTGTAAGAATAATTCTGTTTCTATTTTGTCTGTGTCTTTGTCTACTATTCCTTATGTTTTATATATAATCGTAATAAATAAAAAGAAAGAATCTGAAAATAAACAAACTAGATTTTAAATAGACAAACATATATTTTATATATGTTATGATATATATTTTATCAATTTCCTTTCTGCATAAAAGAAGAACTTACCTCTACAATACCAGTAGATAATGCATATCCTGCCATTGCTAATGTAGCAACAAATGCAGCAAGGATTTGGTTCCTTCTCTTATTGGGAAATTCTTCATTGTCTTCTCTTGATTTTTCAGCGTTTCTTTCAGCTTTATCCTTTTCATAAGTTTGATATTCATATTCAAAATATCTTTGTGATATACGCGACACATATTTTACTAGATTTGTACAATTCTTCAGATGATTTTGTAGAATTGGATTTGGTAACGGTGCCTTAAGCAACGGTGCTAAATACGAATACACAATAGCGTCTATTGTACTAGGTTGTGGTCCAAAAAAAAACTCTCCATCTCCAAGTCTCATAGACAATAATGTCAAACATTTTTGTGCCTCCGAGTATACCTATTGTTACATAAATTGTTAAAATTAATATAGAAAATATTTTTGTGTTTAAACTTTATCTATAGAATAGATTCTTTTACTTATAGAAATATTTAATTTATAAATAAATATTACACATTTAAGAAGCTATAAACTGCTTTACATATTATATGTTATATGCGTACCTCATTTTCAATAACGTCTATGTTATCTTCCATAGAATATAAACTCTGCATCAAAGATTGCGCTTGTCGCTCAAACTTTCCTGGATAATAGAATTTAAATGGAAAGGGCAGTGCTTTGCAATACCATGGTCTAATTAATTCATCTAGATTTTTTTTATCTATCCACCTAAAAATAATTGTAATAATGATACATTCTATATTGTGATATATTTACTGTGATAAAAAATAATAATGAGATGTATATATCAAAAACAATAATAACTATAAAATATATTTGTTAATCTATTACTATTATTATATAAACTATTAATATCATTTCTGCAAAATTACATAATTGGACAAACATGTATTTAATGATCAGAATAATGCACAATCTATATTTGAATAGACATTTTAATATTTATGCTGAGATGTTTGGTAATAATTCAAATAATTTGTCTATTTAAACAACAGTAATTTAAATTAAGAATATAACTTTAAAAGTTAATCAGTCATTTGCATTTTATGCTTTTCTTTGCATATTGCTAAAAAACTGTAATTTTTCTAGGCAAGATCTGAAATTGCAAACAAATTTTGGTTGATAGCATTTAAGTAATGCAAAAAATCTTACTAACACTTGCTAACATTTTAAAAGCAAAAGGCAGAAAAATCTTCAGTAATATTGATAAATAAGAAAATTAATTATCAATCAATTTAACTAGCAGATAAAATTTTTAAACATCTTCCATTACTATACAACTGATTATTTAATAATGTATATTCTTTTATCACTTAAATTTCATAAAAATCTCAGAAATTGTATATTATTCTAATATATTTCTCTGTATATCTCATACCATATAAATTGCAAGGCTGGATATAACTTTTCCTTAAGCAAAGCATCATACGCCATGACATCTGCACATTGCTTATCACTTAATATATAGTCAGAATTATAATGTTTTGCTCTAAAAAATGGCAATATATCTTTAACTGTATCCAAAGTATTTAGACCAGCCCTAAGCAATGGTAATCGACCATTTGGTGTTTTAAATGGATTGTTTGCTAAATTTACTTTTAAAGGTACCCCACTGAATTTAGCGTATGCCTATAAATAATGTGATACTGTATATATTAAGAAACAAATGTTATTCTATTAATTAATTTTCATCAAAACATGCAATATCAGTTTTACATTATATTTTTGAACATATCTTTCAAAACTAATAAATATTTTTTTTAAAACCTTTGATCAATCTAAAGATAATTTGTCCTCGATGAAAATATCCCGAAATGTCATTTATTTTGCATTTTTAATATCTTTTTATAATAAAGTTTTAAATTAAAATTCGATTTTTAAATTTATTGAAAATTTGAAATACCATCATTGATGAAATTATATAAATAAATATCATTCCATTATGTCAATATTATCTCTTAAAGTCTGCCAAAAAAACTCATGTTTTCTATTCACTGAAGAGCTATAGATGCCTCGATATTTTCGACGAGAAAAAAATCGATTCTTAATTGACCAAAGAATTAGGTGACATTTGATGGTTTTGGGACATTCTATCGTAAATATTTGGATCGCTTGCAACAATCAAATGCATTTTATATTATATAATAATTCCTGTTACAAATGACATAAATTGATCCTTAATCGACTAACCCACATGTGCGTGTCATAACCCGTACATACCAGAACTTGCAAACATTCTATATCGACTGACGGAAGACCCCAGTCACCTTTCCATATATCTAACTGTAAAATCTCGGCATTAGCCATCTCCAAAAATTTGCATCGCCCGTAAAATTCCACGCATTCACTCAAATAAATTCTTGACACATAACTATAATATATAACCCTTTGGTAAACAACGTAGCATCGTGCTGCACAATGCAGCACAGGTTAGATTAGGTCCTTTATAAAGGTCTATTCACACAAACGATGTAAATTAGACGCAGGGACCAATCAGCATTCGTATAGATTTTGACAGATCGCATTTGATCGACCAATCAGGATAAAAAAGAGCAAAAATTTCTTCGTCCTGATTGGTCAATCAAATGCTACTTTTCTCCGATAAGAACATAATCTCAATCCATATGGATGAGCCTGCAAGACTCGTCCGGCGGCATGTACGAGATTTTATCTTTCCGTAGCGTTCACACACGTGCGCCCGCACACACGTGCGTTTGCACACACGCGCGCCCGCACACACGTGCGTTCGCACACACACACACACACACACACATAACGGGGGCCAAATCTCTCAAATTGGTTTCCAGTGTTGTAACATACCTAGGTATAAGTACCTAGGTACAGTATCTAGATACTCTAACAGTACCTAAGTGCATTATCTAGGTTCTTACAGGAGAAGATACCTTTATTTGTATCTGGGTACTTTTTTGTAAGGTACCTTTTAAATTTAGATACGTAGGTACAAGCAGAGAGAAGGATGAGAGTGGTCATCCCCTCGATTTAGCTGCAACCGGAATTCAAAGCGCCTCTATGTGCACAAAACGTGCACATTGAACTACGTAGCCACAGATTAATAGACAGATTGCCAAAGGCCTGCCTAAAGAAGAGACCGCCATCTTCGTGCGATAGACTTTGCCCCTTACCGACACACTTTGCCTCTGGTTCGAGTCCGTGCTAAATTCGTAGACTTGAACCAAAAGACTTTGCCCCTGGTTCGAGTCCGTGCTAAATTTCGTAGACTCGACCAAAAGACTTTGCCCCTGGTGCAAGTCCAGGCTAAATTCGTTTGACATTACCAACAGACTTTGCCCCTGGTGCGAATCCAGGCTAATTGATCATGAGACCAATTTGAGAGATTTGGCCCCCGTTGTGTGTGTGTGTGTGTGTGTGAGAGAGAGAGAGAGAGAGAGAGAGAGAGAGAGAGAGAGAGAGAGAATATTTTACATATATGCATATATATATAAAATTTATTAAATATAAAAAATATATTTTTTACACATAAAATGTTTTTTTATTGAAATAATCACGATTTTAAATGTGATATAACACAGTGTTCTAAAATTTTTTAATTAAATTTTTTAATTAAATTTTATTAAAGAAAATTACTTGAAATTTTTTACATTAAGAATTTAAAGGCTCCTTATTCTCTTGTAGAAATTTATCACTACGCCAATTAATCACTTATTTTGAGTATTTAAAATACTATATAATATACAGTAATTTAAGTATTCGAAATAAAAGTGATTAATTACTCGAAATAAGTGATAAATTGGCGTTACTAGTAATAAATTTCTATAAGGGTTGAAATAAAGTATAAGAGATAAATAGGCTATATGTGAGCCGTATGCGAAATGTGAGATGTAAGACGCATATTGAAATTTAATTTTTCGATATAACTTTCAAAAATGTACACGAGGTACAAAAAATTAGCTTGGACATTTGTAAGACTTAAAATTGGGATTAATTCTCAATTCTATTAATTAAATTTCGATATAACACACCTTACATCCGCGCACGGCTCACATATATATATAGCCCATTTATTAGTGCAATTTTTAAGTTCCTTATTTTTCAAAGTTCACCTTTTTACGTTATCAAATATTTTTACGTTTTCAAGAATTTTATATTTTTACTTACCGCAGTTTCTTATCCAAATGTAAAATCTTTTATCGCAGTCTATAAAAAATTGAAACAATTTACAATTTTATGATATAATATTATTATTATTACAATTTCTATATATATGCACATCTGTCAAATATCGTGATTTATTTCACATTATTATTATCTATTTTAATAAAAAAAAACAAAAACACTTGCAACAATCAAAAATAAACCGCCTGCCGCGAACGGAAAATGCCAAGAAAGCACGCAATTTCCGCGAATCTCGTAATTTTTTTGAAAAATCAACAATTTCAACGAAATTGTAAATTCTTCAAATCACTGCACAAGTATAATTCACAATAATAATTTTCAGTAACTACGATAAAAAATCGTATACTGAAAACCGCAAACGAAAGTGCAATGGGAGTAAGAGTAAAGTCTGTGATAAAATTAATTGGCAATAGAAAATTAATAATTTTCAAATAGAAAAATTTTGAAATTACCGAGGATTTACAAATAATAAAGTAAAAATATTAAATAATTTATGTGACTTTGTATAGTGAACACATCAACTTGGCGGAATCTTGACTACTCATCAATTTAAGTAAGCAATTCTAAACACAATTAAGATCTTTCACATAAAAAAAATAACTTATTAATATAAATTAATATACCAAAAAAATAAAAATATACTTAGACAATCACGGTGAAATATACTGCAATGACGAACTTACTCGGAAATATCCTTGATGATGGGGACTAACTTTTTGATGCTGGATAACATCTAATTGTTTTCAATTCTCATATCAAGCGGTTCTGACGATAATTTTAACTAATAATGTTCAAAAGAATTGATGACGTGGAATGGGCCGTCAACCTGTTCAACCTGTACTAACAACAGGGAACTCGTTTACATGTTTTTTGACATAATCAAAAAGTTTACCATCTTAACTAAAAAATGGTTAGCCGATTAGAAAAAATATCTAATTTAATAAATGTTATAAGCGTAACCTAATTTAAATTCATCGACTTATTAAACCAAAATGTTCATTAAAAAATAGACTCTAATGCGTAATATGTCATAATTTTTCTTAAGAGAATTTTTATTGTTTTTATATTTACTGAAGAAGGCTGAGGTAACAGCCGAAACGTTTTATTATTTTTATTATCATTGTATCTACTAAGAAATAAATCAATTATGTGTTGACATTACATCTCTCACTAATTTAATATGCTCGTTATAGTTGGCCCTGTCTTTCTAAATCTTAATTTTATAATATCACACGAGCCTTGTCTTTAAATATCTAATTGTTTTCCTTATTAAATTAAAAATATTAAATAATTTATGTTTTCGAATTTTGCTCGCGGAGAGGATTTTTAAAACAAGATTTTTAGAAGAGAGGACCTTTAAAATATAAACAGGCAAAAACGTTGGAAAAATTAAAGCGCGCGTTTAAACAGATAAACGCAATGAAATAAATACGCAATTGTTTTTACTTATCGCTGTAAGCTCACAAGCTTCTGACGTGCTATACACTTTTATATAATATATACAAGGTGTCCGGTAACTAACGGACCAATGATTAAGGGCGGATTCTCTGGCTAATTTGGAGACGATTTTTCCTTAGCAAAAATGTTGAGAAGTCAATAATTTTCGAGTTATAAGCGATTGAAAAAAATAGGTTTTTTGAAAACTAAACGTTTTGGAGTTAAAAGTCTAACATAATTACATTCTTCAGTTAATTTCAGGTAGAGTTTACTATAATAAAATTTTAATTTAAGGCTTAGTTATAAAGATACATAATGACAAAGATTGGAAAGTTGTAAAAAATGATGACCTTTTTCGACATTTTTGCTGAGGAAAAATCGTTCCCAAATTGACCAAAGAATCCATTTGTAATCATTGGTCTGTTAGTTACCGGACACCCTGTATATTGGACACGAGTTTCGTTTGTTTCAGATTCTCGAGAGTTGAAGTAGGAACATACGAGTATCATATATCGTTTGTGACTTGCCGAATGAAAGCAAGACAGAGAGCGAACGAGATGATGAGCTTAATAGCTCATAATGTTATAAATAAATAAATAAAAAATTATAACCTGACCTACTAGTTATTGAATCTTTTTTTAATAAAATGTTTCATTATTATTATCATCTAAGTCTAAGTCGTTTAATTACTTTTTAGTTTTTTAATAATTAATTTAATTTATTCTAGTCATTTTTATATGAGAAAAATAATATCACGTATACGTTTTATAATGAATTAATATATTTCGGGAATCGAATTATATATTCTTAATAATATAAAAGTGTTCAAAAATTATATTTGACTTTTAATTTTAATTATTTTATAGCAAAGAGTTCCGAAATCTCTTACACACATAATGGGGATTTTTTTCATCCATATAATTCGCAATTAAGTATATATGTTAATTATTAATTTTAATAAAATAAAAATTAAAATTAAAGGTCAAATATAATTTTTAAACACAAATATATTAAATTAATTATAAAACGTATACCCATGATAGTATTTTTCTCGTACAAAAATAATTAGAGTAAATTAAATTAATCATAAAAGATTAAAAATTAATTAAAGAATTTAAACTTATATTTTATATAATAATAATAAAACATTTTATTACGTCAAACCGTCGTGAAATAATTAAATAAAATTTGCTAGTTACGTCAAAGTCAAGTTTTCTAAGCTTATAAAACATTTTATTAAAAAACAGATTCAATAAATATAAGTACATGTTATATATATACTTATATTTATTAAATCTGTTTTTTTTATAAAATGTTTTATTATTATCATATAAAATATAAATTATTTAATTATTTTTTTATTTTTTTATGAGTAATTTAATTTATTCTAGTTATTTTTGTACGAGAAAAATACTATCACGGGTATACGTTTTATAACAAATTAAATATATTTATGTTCAAAAATTATATTTGACCTTTAATTTTAATTTTGTATTTTATTAAAATTAATAATTAACATATATACTTAATTGCGAATTATATGGATGAACAAAATCTCTATTATGTGTGTAAGAGATTTCGGAACTCTTTGCTAAAATAATTAAAATTAAAAGTCAAATATAATTTTTGAACACTTTTATATTATTAAAAATATATAATTCGACTCTCGAAATATATTAATTCATTATAAAACGTATACGTATTAGTATTTTTCACATATTAAAATGATTAGAATAAATTAAATTAATTATTAAAAAACTAAAAATTAATTAAACGACTTAGACTGAGATGATAATAATAATGAAACATTTATTAAAAAATAATTATAATAGGTCAGGTTAATATTTTATTTATTTATTTATTTATAACATCATAAAATTCTGTCCTTTCCGAAATACGCGAACGCTACGAAAAGATAAATCTCGTACATGCCGCCGGACGAGTTCATGAGCATGAGACGCTCTTATCTTGGGAACGTATTAATAGTTACTGCATTGACCACTACTACAATATGGCGCTGAAATCAGTGAGAAATGCTGGTCTCTCCTTCATCCAGACCTTTGGCGATCTGTCTATTAATCTGTGACGTAGCCATGTGCACGATGCTCCCGAGTGGTAACAGGCTATGTGCACGGTACGTGGTTCGATTCCGTGCTATGTGCACAGATGAGCGCCAGTAACACGTAGCTGTTAAAGGAGATGAGTTCGAGACCTCGCAGGGCCAATTTTTTTTTTTTTTTTTTTAGTACGACTATATTTGTCAATTTAATGAAATCCTTTTAATTATTGTGGAATAAAGAGATAAAATGCATTTCTCAAGCGTACGCGAGAAAATCGAAATCAAAAATAATGAGTGCCGTATAAATACGTATGGAATAGAGCGTTATATCGAAGAGCGTGTGGCGTAGCGTTAAGGGGCTAGACACGTACCGTCGAGATTAGAGGTTCGATTCTCAAGGAGTGACTTTTTTTTTAAATATTTTTTTATTTTAAATAAAATTTTTTTTTACCATAAAATGTAATTTTTACACAAAATAAATGTAAATAACACGATTTATTTACTTATAACACGTATATTACAAAAATGCATTTTTCTTTGCCTCAAAAAGCCGTGAAAAGCCGTCTGTAGAATAGCTGTATGCGATAGGAACTTGTATGATTATCTGTTTAATTAAAAATTATCCGATTTATGTCGTGTTTGGTGTCGTTGAAATCGCAAAAATCTCAATAATCCATTAATATTATTTTCGAATAGATAAAATGCAAAATAAAGGTTTTAGTTTTTCACTTATAAGATGTTTATATTTGTGAATTGCCATGGATGGGGAAGCCTATTGTTCGAGAGTTCGGAACGTTCTTTGATCTCGATACTCGGGCGCTCGGGCCCGCTTATCTTTTCGAGCTCATCTCACAACTCGTCGTGTGCGAGAGAGAAAGCGAGACTGCGAGTATAGAGCGAGCGAGAGGACCTATCATCAAAGAAAGTTCCGAACTCTCGAACAATAGGCTTCCCCATCCATGGCAATTCACAAATATAAACATCTTATAAGTGAAAAACTAAAACCTTTATTTTGCATTTTATCTATTCAAAAATAATATTAATGGATTATTGAGATTTTTGCGATTTCAACGACACCAAACACGACATAAATCGGATAATTTTTAATTAAACAGATAATCATACAAGTTCCTATCGCATACAGCTATTCTACAGACGGCTTTTCACGGCTTTTTGAGGCAAAGAAAAATGCATTTTTGTAATATACGTGTTATAAGTAAATAAATCGTGTTATTTACATTTATTTTGTGTAAAAATTACATTTTATGGTAAAAAAAATTTTATTTAAAATAAAAAAATATTAAAAAAAAAGTCACTCCTTGAGAATCGAACCTCTAATCTCGACGGTACGTGTCTAGCCCCTTAACGCTACGCCACACGCTCTTCGATATAACGCTCTATTCCATACGTATTTATACGGCACTCATTATTTTTGATTTCGATTTTCTCGCGTACGCTTGAGAAATGCATTTTATCTCTTTATTCCACAATAATTAAAAGGATTTCATTAAATTGACAAATATAGTCGTACTAAAAAAAAAAAAAAAAAATTGGCCCTGCGAGGTCTCGAACTCATCTCCTTTAACAGCTACGTGTTACTGGCGCTCATCTGTGCACATAGCACGGAATCGAACCACGTACCGTGCACATAGCCTGTTACCACTCGGGAGCATCGTGCACATGGCTACGTAGTTCAATGTGCACGTTTTGTGCACATAGAGGCGCTTTGAATTCCGGTTGCAGCTAAATCGAGGGGATGACCACTCTCATCCTTCTCTCTGGTACAAGGTATTTATCTATAGATTGTCATTAGACGCATTCAGCAGATAAAGCAGCTTAGTGAGCGCTTAGTGATTCTTTAATATGATTCGTTCTTTAATATGATTGGCGGACACTGATCTGTTAGAGAGAGAGAGAGAGAGAGAGAGAGAGAGAGAGGGAGAGAGAGAGAGAGAGAGAATAAGTCCGTATCCGTTCCCGTTTTGTGTAGTGATTGGTCCCGCCATTTTGAGGGGTCTGATTCTGATCCAATAAAAAGAGGTCTACAAGTTGGCCAAGCTGGGACACTACTCACTTCTACTTATACTCTGTGGTGTGATTGAGGCAGTTCAGTTTTCTTTGCGTTACATTTTTAATTCCAATCTAATTAGTTATTACATAGATATATACTCAAAATGTTCTTAAATTGTAGCGATCTCCCATTAATTTTAAGTGGACAGTTTTTTAAAATTGTACAGAACGAGGGAGATCCGGAAGGTACTCATATGAAAACGACCGTTGCAAAATGCATGTTATGTCCCAAACAATCCCTCATAAGTAGCTCTAAAACATCAACTGGCAATTTTCATAAGCATTTGCGGGTAAGTAGTGAAGTATTTAATTATATAACTATATAACTAAAAAATAGGTAACTTAACCTTAATTTGTTACTTGCCTAATGTACTAATAATAAACTACAGGGATAACCAGAAATACCTGATATTAATTGTATTTAAAAATAGCGATATAAAGTATTGTATAAAGACTAGAGTATTTTGTTCATTTGTGTTAAATAGACAAAAGTCGAGTTTTTCTTGTATCTGTCAAAAGTTCAAAATAGATCCTTAATAATACGATTAATACGATTTTTTATTTAGAGGAAACATCCTGAGGTAGCTAAGCAGTATGAAAACTTAAAATCCCAAAAAATATCTTTGAAACGCAACTCAGTTGATGAATGTACTGATCCTAGCAAAGTATTTGTGACGCCGTTTCAAAGATGTAGAAATTATGACAAACCTTCAGTTAGTGCTAGTGTGGTATGTGATTTTTATTTGTACTTAAATACTTTATCGTACTAATAAATCATCATATTGAAATATAGAATATTAACATGTCATGTCTGAATGAAGAGTTATTTTTTATTCATTTTTTCTGAGACTATGGTGCAAAACCTGCCATTGACAATCCTAATAAATAATATTAATTTTATTATTAATACAGAAAAATAAAATAGACAATTATCTATATAAAGTATTATTTATTGTAGATCAACGGACTAATCTGCAACTACATAATCGAAGAAATGCTTCCAGTTTTTACGGTGGAAAAGCAATCATTCAAAAATCTTATTTCTGGTTTGTCTAGAGGTGCAAATCCACCGTGTCGTAAAACACTTAAAGATTTAATTTACAAGCAAAAAGAGGAGTATGTAGAATTTTTGAAAAATAAACTTCTAACAACTCGTTATGTGTGCACTACAGCTGACATTTGGAGCACTAATAATAAAAGTTACATGGGAGTAACTTGCCATTATTTGGATGAACAATTGAAAAGACATTCAATAGTCCTAGCATGTAAACGAATGAAATATTCTCACACACATTTGCAAATTGCTAAAACTCTGTCAAATGTTCATGCTGATTACAACATTAAAAAAGAACAAATTGTAGGAACCGTAACCGACAATGCTGCAAATTTTGCAAAATCTTTCCGAGTATATTCTGTACCTGAAATCAATGATCCTGACGAATTAGATTTTTTATCTGATGAAAATATTTTGCTCGACGTACATGATATTCCCAACTTTTCAGAAATTATGGAAGATTTCCATATTCAATCTGAAGATGATGATATAACACTTCCATATCATTATCGATGTGCATCACACACTTTGAGTCTAATCGCAACTAAAGACTCGGAAAAAGCATTGCAAGATATTTCTTATAAAAAAATGTATCGTACAACATTTGGCAAACTTACTGCTTTGTGGAATCTTACTCATCGTTCTACTTCAGCTTCTGATGAAATAGAAACTATTTGCAATATGAAATTAACAGTGCCTTGTCCCACAAGGTGGAATTCTCTCTATGATAGTATTAACAGAGTGCTATTATTAAAGGATCACCTAGCAGCAATTTGCGAGAAACTCCAGAAACCCAAATTAAAAAACGCTGAAATGGATTTTCTATCTGAATATGTTACCGTGATGAAACCGATCGCAAAATCTCTAGATCTCTTGCAGGGTGAAGACAATTGCTATTTAGGCTACGTGCTTCCTACATTATTTCAAATTGAATATGCTTTGAATTCGCTAACCCATCTAATTTATTGTGCTCCGCTCAAAAGTGCCATTCTTGATAGTATACGTACAAGATATAAGGACATTATGGACCTGAGTAGCAGCAAATCCAAGCCCTACATTTTGGCAACGGTTTCACATCCAAAATTCAAATTAAGATGGCTAACTAACAAAAATAACAATGATGAATACAAGATGGTACAAAATTTATTTTTTTCCGAATGTGAAAAGTTGTACCGACAGGAGTTAGGCACAAATGAGGATAAGAGCTCTTCAACAAGTAGTGATGAAGATTTCTTCAGTAGTATCCTCAAGAGTTCCAGTCAAAATAATGTGATAGAAAACAACAGCAATGCACAAAGACAAAATATTGTGCAAATGGAATGCTTACGCTATTTGGAAGATAAATGCAAAACTGTCGAATCCCTATTGAATTATAATCTAATTCAAAAAATGTTTAGACAGTATAATACTATTCTTCCGTCCTCGGCACCCGTTGAAAGACTCTTCAGTACAGATGGTCAAATTTTAACCCCCAGAAGAAATCGGCTTTCGGATATAATGTTTGAAACATTATTAATTTTAAAAAAACGTGATAAACCATAATTTCAAGCATTTTTATATATACTTTTATATATACTTATATATATGTATATTATATCAATTTAATACAAAATAAAATTCGTTTTAATTTTTCAAATTTTCGCAATTTGTTTTTTTATAAAAAGTACCTAAAATATACCTAAATTTTTCAGGTACTTTTATACTGTACCTGTACCTACACCTAGGTTATTTTTTAAAAATGTATCTATACCTGTAACTAGGTGTTTTTTCCACACAGTATCTATATCTATACCTAGGTTCCTTTCAAATAGTACCTGTTACAACACTGTTGGTTTCATGATCAATTAGTCTGCATTCGCTCCAGGGGCAAAGTCTGTTGGTAATGTCAAACGAATTTAGCCTAGACTCGCACCAGGGGCAAAGTTTTTTGGTCAAGTCTCCGAAATTTAGCACGGACTCGAACCAGGGGCAAAGTGTGTCGGTAAGGGTGCAAAGTTTATCGCACGAAGATGGCAGTCTCTTCTTTAGGCAGGCCTTTGGCGATCTGTCTATTAATCTGTGTCCGTGACCTATACTATCTGTATCCAATGATTATTTGTATGCGAGCGTGAATAAGGAGTTTTACACTTAATTATATTCAATCGATCACGAATTAATAACTGGGAATTTATTAATAAAAGTGTGACAAAAATGGGAAACGTTATGTATGCATTATTATGAATAATGTAGATTTATAGAATTTGCAAACAAAAAAGTGATATAATAATTGACAGTAACACTTGTGATAAAATGTCTAACACACTTACACCATTTGTATACTGGGCCCAAACAGAAAATCAAATTACATTAAAAGTGGACCTGACTGATGTAAAAGTACGATTTATATATACACTGAATGTATTGGAGAGAAATACGTAGTATATTTTTTGATGTTATTTATATATATATATATATATATATATATATATATATATATATATATATATATATAATTTTTCTCTTCCTCCAAAAAATATTTATAAACATTATTGTAGTATATTTGTTCTCTGTCTGTTACAGGAATTTAATGTTAATCTAAAGGAAACTACATTGCAAGTTACAGCTTATGGTCAGGGAGCTAGAGGTCTTAATAATTACAGCTTCAATCTGAGTCTTCATTCACCTATTGATCCAAATGTAATGATAAATTCCCAAATTAATTTTTGTATATAATTATATAATGCAAATATTAAATTAAAAATGCATTTTATATGTAATACTGTAGGAGAGTAATTACAAAGTAATTGACCGTCAAGTGGATTTTATCTTGAAAAAGAAATATAGCAGTTGGTGGCCAAGATTAACAAGTCAGCCGCAAAAGCCTTCATGGCTTAAGATTGATTTTGATAAATGGAAAAGTGAAGATATGGATGACAATGATGATGAAAAACGTGACATTCATAATGATTACCCTGACATGTATGATAAATTGCATAAAGAAGAATTTGGTTATAGAAAAGGTATATTGTGAGTCAAAATTATATATTGTAGTAGTATTATAACATTGATATCTCATATTATTCTTTCAGAGGATCTTGCAAAGGTGTACCTAGTGATATATAATCTCTGTCAATTTGTTGGTTTTATTTATGTACTTGCTGTAATGGGTATACGATACTCACGAGATGGGCCAGGTATATATATATTTACCCCATGTACATTTCTAAAATACTTTTATTCTATTGATAGGAGAGAAATACATCAAATTTTATTCTCAAAATTTTTTGGAGTTTCTTTAGCTAGAGTTCTTTGTACACATTGAAATTTATAACATTAAAAATTGTTTTAGATTTATCTTAAAATATATATGATTTTTTTAGATTCCATGAAAGAAACATTTGCCACAGTTGGCAATCCGCTCAAGTTCATACAACTTTTACAATTTTTAGAGGTAATGCATCCTTTATTTGGATATACAAAGAGTAACACACTTGTGTCCTTCTTGCAAGTGGGAGGAAAAGCGTTTGTGTTGTTTTTTATGATTGATGCCGAGCCTCGTATGCAAACTAAGCCAGTTGTTTTCTATTTGTTCCTGATATGGAGTTTAATAGAGATAGTCAGATATCCATATTATATTACACAGTTATTGAACATTGAAATATCCTTTTTAACATGGTTAAGATACACCTTATGGATACCATTATATCCATTAGGTTTTGTATGCGAGGGTATCATAATATTACGGAATATTCCATATTTCGAGGAAACTCAGAAATTTACAGTTTCCTTACCGAATACTTACAATTTTGCTCTTCACTTCCCATCTGTCATGAGACTTTATTTACTTCTATTGCTCTTGCCTGGAATATATACATTAATGTCCCGTATGAGTCAATTACGCTCTAGAAAACTTGGAAAATCTACTATTAAGAGGAAGTACAAAGCAGCATAAGTAACTTTAAGCTTATTTCCATTCTGTATTTCTTTTGTAATTACTGTTATATGAAAGATTAATTAAAAAAAGTAAAATAATGAAAAACATAATGGCAACTTTGTTTTAACATGTACAATAATGTAATTTTATATAGATGTTTTATATTGTTTTTGGTTAGATAGGTTTTTTATATGTATGATAATGCAAATTTTATTTGAGTGTATGCATAGTAAGACATACAAAATTCGTTGAGTAATTATGCATTAATTACCTAAGCTGATTTTATCTGCTTATACTACATTTATTAATGTATGTAATTCAAAGGAGCAATACCAAAGTTAATATTAAGACTAATTGAGTTTTTGCATGTCTTGAATACAAATCTTGTATATGAGAAAATAGAATAAATCATGTAAATAAGACAAATATTACAATACAATTTCGTTGGATCTACAATGTATCTAATATATTTATATACTATGCATATATTAGACATATAATATAGGTTTATAGAAATACATTGTCTTGAAAAGCTAGAAATAATGTACAGTTCGTTTATTATATATATGTTAACAGGAAAAAAATATAAAATTTATATTCACTGATTTAAAAAATACAAATAAAATGAAGAAAAAATGTAAGCGCGGACAATAATTTCCTTTTCAAATATCTATCGTATCGATCAACAATATCGATTCTTGCTTGATATATATCGATATTCACTTTACGATTCATTTCGATTCAGATTCAAAGTTCTATGCTACTTTGGTTAGGAAGCATGTTTGTGAAATTAGTTTCGTACAGTTTTATATTTTATTTATAACACACGATTTATTTGAGACATGTAAAATAAATAATTAATTTCTGAGTTTCAAAATTTCTTGTATAAATACTAATTTGATTTGAGTTTTATGTGTTGTTTGTACATATGATAAATTTTCTAACCATTAAATATATTAATTTTGTGACGTGATACAACAGAGGATATATATATATTTTGTATTTAAATTAAATTAAATTATTAAAAATGTATCCTATGGATTTAACAAAGACGATCCCACCTGACAGTGAAAATAAAAGTGTGTTTTTTAATGACGGCGACCTAGACAAGATCGCTATATTCCTTGTTGGAAGTCAACAACGTTTTAGAGAAAATATCATAATTCCCAGAACACTGGGACCTGTACAAATAAAAACGATTGAAGAAAAGAGGATAGAAAGTGCAATGGAAAGTTGTGCGTTTAAAAGCATCATGAGTTGTGTCCTAGGTATATATTCTACTATTTCATTCTAATATGTATATATAAATATATTGAATACCCATTAGACAAATTACAAATATTAACAAAAGTATATAGATATTAAAAGTATATTGTACTAATTAGAACATCCTTTTTTTCAGGCTATGGTTTAGGAGCAGCTATTGGACTATTCTCTTCTAGTGTAAATCCTAATATAGCGAGTGTTGAAAAGCAACAAAGTGCGAGAGAAATATTAAAAGAGATGAAAACTACAACACTTGGTTATGCAAAAAATTTTGCAGTTGTTGGATGTTTATTTTCTGCCATTGAATGCACGATAGAATCGGTAATATTCAATTAGCTAAATATATGTTGAGAAAATTATTTTCATACATAATAATTTTTATTGTTGTTTGATTATGCATATCCTGTAAAGATTATTAATTAATTTCAGTATAGAGGTAAAACTGATTGGAAAAATGGCACATATGCAGGAGGTTTAACAGGTGGTTTAATTGGTTTAAGAGGTATTCACAATATTCATGCATTATAAATTATTTTTTTATGTATTTTGTTAAGCTATTTAATTTTCTGTTATTTTTGCAGCTGGTATAAAAGCAGGTATAGTTGGTGCTGCAGGTTTTGCAGCATTCTCAACAGCGATAGACTATTACATGCATAGATCTTAAATTACACAATTTAAGTTGGTTAGAATATATATTTATATAAAAAAGATATATAAAAGTTTGTGTATATGTAGTTATGTATCTGTACAAAAATTGTAAAAACAAATATTTCAAATGTAAAAATGCTCACAAATTTAATATCATGTGACTGCAGAATTGGAGGCGTAAAATACATCGCTTTTAACATTTATTTTCTGCCTAGTATATATTTGCTCAAAATTATATGAAACTTTTTCCTAAGTATAATCACGTTCACAATGTTTCGTTGTTTAAATTGTATTAAACACATTTGCTTAACACTCATATGTGATATAGGTAGAAAATTACAAAACCTTTAGTCACATTTATCTTAAACATTATGTTTTTTACTTCTATCAATCTATCTATACTGATAATATGAATATCTAGAAATACATCTACCTCTCTTTCTCTGTATCATTCACATGCGTTTTATATGATTCATTACAAAAACTAAAAAAAAATTAAAATGTAGTTATAAAAAAAGTACATAAAGATTAAGCATATAAATATATTTAAAATTAACTTTGGATTTTTCTCAAATTAATTTTGCACATTCGTACTTCTTTTGCTTCTAAATAAGTAATGTTAATAGTTAAACAATACAAGATTATTTCACTAAATAAAAAAGTGAAATATATCAACATATTTCTGTGATATTTGTCGGAAGCATTTTTGAAAACTGTCAACATTTTAAAACTTAGATCCATGTTACACGAGCTCTTACATCAATTCAATATAAGATTTCTTATTTAATATTAGCACGATATATATCTTATCAATAAAATATTTATTATGAATATATTGCTCAATTATATGGAAATAATGATTCTTTCTCTTATTTTGCAAGTATCTATAACAAATCATACATATAGTTTTCAACAAATAGATTACCTATTTATGTAATATAAAAAAAATGAATCCTTATTTGTGTACATATGTTAAATATTTAAATCATAATGACAAAAATTGCAAGGCACTTTCCACAATTCTGTTTTTTTATTACATAATTTTTTTACCTGAGATAAAATTCTTATTATGTCATATATATATGATGTTTGATATTTTTTGTTTCAATAAAAAATATATAGTTAAAATAAAGAAAAATCTGCCCCCCCTTTCATATCTGCAAAAAATTGCAAAATTATTGAAACTTAGTCAAACTTTATATACTAGACACTTGCATCCATAATATCTTTATCTTGTCTTAACTCATTAGTCTTGCTTTCTTTTAAATAAAATCATTTTTAGATCTTTTTATTACATGTATGCAAAAATTTATGATTATGATTATGATGAAATTTATGAATAAAACTTTAAGTGGCCATCAGTTAAACAAGAATAAAACAAAAATTATAAAAATCAATTAACTACAGACACAAATTTAAAAAATAATGCAATTATCCAAATTTAATTATTTAAATAAATTTTGTTAAGAAAATTGACAAGCATAACTTATTAAAGTGTCCTGCTAAATCTTTATCAATTTTCTTGATTATTTCCGGACAAAAGATAGCTAACTAAAAATCAAGAACTCTTTCTTACATACAATGCACATTTCTCAAAAAGTTACATTAAAGATAGATTCCATTATTTTTCATATTCTTATGAAATATATGTATAAAATGCATATGTATATCAAAATGAGATTATTCTTATGAAGATAAGTCTAGAAAAATAATACGTCCAAATCAATACCTTGGTCATGTAAGTTACTAAAAAAGTTTTATAGATCTTTTTGGCACTCGTAACAGTGAAAAGTTATTTTCTTCACTATCAGTATAAAAATGCATAGTTGATCAAGGTTGTTGTTGTTGCATCTGTGCCTGCATCACAGCCAGCAATTCTTGCATATGTCGTATTTCTGCTTCTTTTTCTTGCAAAATGCGATCCTTTTCTGATACTGTGCTGTTTTTATCTGGTTCAGCAAAACTATAAACAAAAGACAGTAAATATATAAAATTCGTGCATACATAAAATTCGTGATTATTATACTTACGTTTGACGTCGAGGCGGTACTGGAGCTCCTTTTGCCAATCTTTCACTACGATAATTTTCATAATGTACTTCTTGTGTTACTTCCTGTAAATCTTGCATATGTGTACTACAAACAAAAGTATTGTTAGAACATATATACATTAATATATAAATTACAGCATTATGTATTAATTAAAACCTTACATCAACATTGTCCTTAATTTGATAAAATCGCAATGATCGGGATTCTCGACTTCAACAACACCCCATGAATACACTCGACCTCGTACTTTCTTTCCTTTGACTTCAATTAAGCTATTCGCACCGCATACTGCGAATGGAACAGCCTCTTTTAATTGACGCACTTGTTCTTTGTAATCCTCATCTTCGTCGCTATCACAGTCTGGTAAAGGATATATTTTGATTCCACTGCCTTCAATCTCTTCCATAACTCTTTTTTTCAAGCGTAAGACTTCCTTTTTCGTAAGTACATCAGCTTTTGCTATTACAGGTACTATATTAACTTTGTTATGAAGTTGTTTCATAAACTCGATGTCCAACGGCTTCAATCTGAAAAACGAATAACAAAATTAGAGAGAGAAGAAAAACGATTATATAAATTTCATATAAAAAATAAGCCACAAACTAATTTTGAAAAATAAATATTAATTAAATTTGGTTGTGCCTACTTTTAATTCTAAATTAATATTACAAGATAATAATTCATACCCATGACCAAACGGTGAAATAAAATAAAAACAACAATGTATTCTGTTATCCACAATGTTCCTCCTGTTTAAGCCACTTTCGTCACGAAGAAATCTTTCAAATTGATCATCTATGTATTGAATGATAGCTCTAAAACTATCTGTGTTATCGATTGCATCTCCATAACCAGGTGTATCAACAACTGTTAATCTAAGTTTGACCCCTCTTTCTTCAATCTCGACCGTTGAAGCATCAAGTTTAACAGTTTGATTGGTTTTTTCTGTTTAACAATAAACAATGAACATCTTAATTATATGTAGCAATATTAAAAATTATATACTTTACTATTATACATCTAAACAAAAGGAAAAATTATTAAAATAATAATTCACTTATGCTTACCTACTGCATCAGGAATTATTCGTTCAGGATACAAATCCGTAAGAAACAAACTATTTACCAAAGTGGATTTTCCAAGACCAGATTCTCCAACAACCATAAGGGTAAACTCAAAACCTTTTTTCACAGATTTCCGATGCACTTGATTAGGTAAATTTGCAAATCCCACATATCCAGGTGTCTCGAGACTTGCAAACTTGAAAAAATATACATATTTCAGAATTAATAATTACTTGAAGCAGAAAGTAAGAAAGTATGTGCATTCGAAAATCTTTCATATATATATAAAATAAAAAAATATAAATTATTTAATTCGTGTGTGTCTGCTTAAAGATTAAAAGAATAGTGAACACATGTAAATAGTAACAATAGTAGCATATTCCAGAAGCAAATATTTTACACTTACTGTTTTTACGCTCTCACTCGACATATCGAATGTATCGCAAAAAATTTGCTCGTTTCTCTTTATAAATTTACGAATAATTCGGTTCAATTTTAAGATCAATGGGCGTCGCGAGTATGACAGAATGCGATACAAAGAATATAGTATACAAAAAATAGGTTATACTCTTCAGCCAAAGATATTCCCCTTCGATCGACACATTGCTTTCACGATTTTTAGAAATATAATATATAATTGTACTATAATAGCTACTAAAGCGTTGTACAGTCGTATTATAATCGAATTCGACGAATGATGGAAAATTTCTTCGCAAATTTTGAGCACGGATGCAGCGTACAGACTATACAGGATGTAGCGTTAGGGAGGACCTGAGGGGGTGGAGAGGACATTATGAATTGGAGTAAGTTAAGGCGTGGCAACTCAACAGCTGAACGCTATTCCGTTAGACCCGCAATTACAAAATTGCAATATAATTTTATCAAATTTTATATTTGTAATGTTATAATCTATAATAATTAAATCTATAATGACATATTTAATTTTACATCACATTAATAAAACTTGATATATAAAAATATTAATTATAATATATATTTATTAAATATATATATATGTATATATATTTCACATAGATTTTTAATAATTATTATATATATTTCTCACACACACATACATACATACATATATATATATTTATTTATAGCATCTTTGACTATTAAAGTCAAAAATAGCATCCATGAAACAAATGTATTTTTATTCATATCTATATCTAAAAATTAAGCAATTAAAATTCGATGTTTATAAAAAACATAGTACCTTTTATCTGAATTTATAGTATATTTAGAGATACAGTTTACAAAATATGAATACGCATTGCATTATATATATTCACAATTACAAATTACATATTTTGCATATTTTACTGTAACTGACATTGCTTACTCTAATACACTGCACAGATACGAGGCAAACAGCTACTTTATTCAGGAAATAGTATCATATACAAGCATTGTTTTACATAATATTTATTATTATTTCAAATTCTCGTTTTATTTGCTATTCTTACGACGTTTTTGCAATTCAACTTTTCAACGTCATTGTTAGCACAGTTAATTCATTACATAATTAATATATAATAATAATAATAATAATCATCGGCGCATTCCCTTTGTATCGTTCCCAGTAGAATGTAGAAATTTATTGAACCACTCGCATGTACTATATTTCACAATCCATTATTCGAGTCGACGAAAAAAAATTATTTGGAGTAATATTAAACAATTATATACTATTATATATTATAACGAATGGTATGATCTCTTAATGATTGATACACACAATGATCAGCGTATGGTGAAACGTAAAAATTCTATGGAAGGAAATGAAACCAGTGTATGATCGCAACTTTTCTTTGTACTTCTTTAAACGCGCGCGCGCGGGCTAGTCTCGAGACAGATAAGAAATACTAGCATAAGATGAAATATACATGCTGTGACATTTTTTTATATTTGTGATAGTTTGTACACATACCCTCGATATTATTACAGACACAAAACCCAACATTAAATTGACACGAGTATTAAAACTCAGCTGTGTAGTATCTTAATAATCATCGTTTATGTATATAAATCGCTATCACTATTGGAGCATGCATTGTGCATACACACTATTTTATGTATATTGTAGTTACAAGTATCCTATTTTCATTTGAATTCGCGAGAAGTTAATTTAAATACAAAAAACATTAGAAGAAAAATTTAGTTTATTTTTAATTAAAAACGCGCAAAACTTAGAAAAATTTTAATAGATTTATATCGTCTATAGTATACCTTTCCTGCGGGTGACCCCTTGTAAGAATTAAAAAAAGACATTGCAATTTGATTGTAATGTACGAAGAGTCGCCACTAGATTTTTAGGAAACTATAAGGGAACCTTGGATCGATTTTAAAATTTTGTCAACAATGTTTCTTTCCCTAATTTTTCTTTAGGGAAATTGAGACTATTGATTGTATCATTAATTTTACTTTTCCATCATTTTCAATTTTTCTTCTCGAGGCTTTGCACCTCCATAAATCGAACTCGTTTTACTCGATTCTGCAATTGCATTCACAGGTTCCTTAACGGTTCTTGGTTTTAATTCCAAACGTTTTCTTCCAGTTGTGTCTAAAATAACCATTAAATATAAATTAAAGTAACATAAATGTAATAAAAATTTGCTTTAGATATAAAGTAAAATTTTTGTATTATATAAATTTGCATATGTCTATGTACACTATGCCATATCTACATACCTGGAGGAGGAGCATCTTTTTGATAAGGGTCCTCTGGGAAGGGTTTTCGATCCGAACCGGTTGCACGCAATGGAGGTTTATTACTATATGATGGTCTGGTAGATGCACTTCGTGACCAGTCACGATTTCCACCTGTGTCGTCATTGAATTGGCCATAATTGCCTCTATTACTTCTAGAATCCCATCTATCATTACTTTGCCTACTACCTCCACGTGGATCTCTATCGCTGTATCCTGTATCAATAAAAATATTGTCATTTTGCTACTAAGTATAAAATTTTAACAAATCAAGTCTCATATAAACAGTACAAGAGAAAAAATTCTTGAGTATATATAAACATTAGCATTTGCATATTTATATGCGTTACTATAAAATTTTTATGAATATGTATTCCATCATTTATGTTATGCATCACTTACTGGAATATGTAGATTTGCTATCGAAATCATCGCCGTATCCACTACGGCCCGAATCTCGTCCTTTAAATCCGCTTCCACCACCGGTACCACCACGACCTCTCCTGTCAAAGCCACCACCTCGATCATTTCGTTTTCCTTCTGCTACATCAATCTTAATCAGGCATTTATCTACTTCTACCGCTCCATCCATTTCCAATGCTGCTTCCAAGTCAGCCAAGTCTTCGAACTCAACATAACAGAAGCCTTTAAATCTATAAATAAGACGATTAAAATTAATGCAATTAATATGTATTGATACAACTAATATATTTTCTTCTCCTACAATAAATACTCACTTGTCAGTATCTCTGTCTTTGACCAATCTGATGACTTTGACATTAAGTTTCTCGAAGATTTTGTCAACATCACCTTGCACAATTCCATTTGGCAAATTTCCCACATATGCCGTATATGGTGGTTCTGTAGGTAATGGTTTTCTGCTACGGTGACCACTCGAATAATCTCTGAACATATAAAAAAATATTTTTTTTTGTCAACAAAACATGCTTTAATTGTTTTATAGTGCTTAGATACATTCTATTGTATATTTATATGTATTGTACATCTATATTTTATAAATCATTATATCTGTAAGTACAATTCCAATTTTTACATTGTTGCATTTAAAATTTAATTCTCAAAGTTGAAGAAACACAACAAAGTATATTATTATCATATTACTACAAATATTCACGAATACATATCAGTATAATTTGTCAAAATAATTGATTAATGTAGTATATTAATAAGGAATCATTTTTTTAATATATAAAATTTCTCAATATATTGAGCACATCTGATTGCTTCTACAAAATCAGTTTGCTAAACATTCATAAATTACTACATTCGTGAAAACAATTCAAGATACTTCAAGATTCATTCTTTTTATACAGTTTCAGTGTCAGTTTTATGTTTAGGTTTAAATAGAAAAAGTCTACGAAGTGAACAGTTCCAATTATGAAGATATACAGATGCAAAATAAAATATACAAATAGAGGCTCTTGTCATGAAACGAGAAAAATCAATCCTGTCATTACCGTTTCACATTTAACTGTTTATATATATTAATTCTCAAAAGTTAAGAAAACACAAAACATTATTACTATATTACTATAAAATATTCATGAATACACATCGGAATAATTTGTCAAAATGACTATGGAATCGATATATATCAATATATTGAACACATCTGATTGCTTGTACAAAATCAGTTTGCTAAACATTCATAAATGACTACATTGGTGAAAACAATTCAAGATAGTTGAAGATTCACTCTCTTTATACATAGTTCCAGTGTCAATTTTATGTTTAGGTTGAAATAGAAAAAGTGTAACAGTTCCAATTATAAAGACATATAGATGCAAAATCAAATATACAAATAAAGGATCTTGTGATGAAACGACAAAAATCAATCCTGTCATTCCTGCCTCGCATTCAACTGCTTCGAAATTCGCGAATCACAATGCCACATCGTGCACATAGTGGGCGATCGCTATCGCTCTCGAGAGGGTCCTTCCTTGCGCGTGCAAACGCACGTGCCCCGCGATTTCCTGGCCGACTTTGGCGCGAATAATCCGCGGGAGTCCTGACGGTTCGCGCTCGACAGCAAAGTATATCGACACCGGCCAAAATAAAGCCGCGTGTCGACGGTGTCCCGCAAGGTGTTGCGCCGCACATACACTCGCGCGTATATCACGGGCCCACCTTAACCTTAAAATTACGGAGGTATTCCGCGAGAAACGTGTGCACCTTCGACGGCCAAACGCGCCGCTCGCGACCCGCGAGCGCGCCATCGGCGGAGACGCTCCTCCACGGCTGACAGAACCGTAAATACGACCGATACTTGCCTTGAATCGTCGTAACTACCCCGACCAGCCATATTGAACGCACGGAACTGACCGGGACCGCGTGAGTCGAATCAGTCACCGTGCGAGTGCATCATGGCGCACCGCTCCTGGTCGTTTTGTTAAAACGAGGGTTTTCGAACCTCACGCGCGCGCGCCTACGTCAATTTAATATATACGTCCCAATTTAAATCGGTACAATGACAGATCTCGTGATGCCCATAGTTTAGGCTTCTATGTAGACGGGCTTAGCGCTTGGCAACGATAGAAATCCGTCAGATGCGGCGAATAAAAAACTCGACCAATCACGGGGCTAATAAGAATGTACGTAACGATACGTCTTCCTTCGAATTAGACGCATGATTGGCTGGTGCCGTATGCAGATCGGACGTATGAAAAATTATGAACAAAATTCATTTAATGCCTATTATGCGGCTTAATAGAATTTTCATTAGAATTATAGGATGGAAGAAATCATTTTGGTGGGAAAAAATTTATTTGTCAATAATTCTCTTAAATAATAAGTTTTATATTTTTTATTAATTTATTATTTATTTTGATTAACTTATATGTATATATATGTAGAATTATTTTAATATTAATCTATTTATTTCAATTCTTTTAAATTTTTATTTAATTTTTATATTAATTTTTTTTATCAAATAAATTTTAATTTTTTATCAATTTTTATCAAATAAATATATTTATGTAAATTCATCGAAGGATGATAGATTTTTTGTGTACCAAAACGCTTTAATTATAAGCCTTGAATCTATTTAAATTTTTTGATTTTTGATATTTGATTATGTAATAATGTAATGTTAATGCTTTTCAAATATAAGACGATTGACTGGACGTATAATCTTATTCAAATTTGAAGAATATTACGATTTTTATAATTGTCGCTTTTGTTTTTTTTTTTACTATTCATGTACTCATTTGATCAACGTAGTCTTATAGAAGTACCTGAAAATCAAGATGGCTACCGTAATGCAATGTACCGCACGGTTTGCACGTGTGGGAAAAGTAGTGTCGAAATTATATCATCTTAAATAACAGAAATGAACAAAATGAATTCTATCATATTGGATAACTTCAACAAACTGAAGAATAACAATGAATCTGTGAGATTAAATGCTGGAGGAGCATTACTGAACCATTTATGTCAATATAATACGGTAAGTTGATTCATATAACCTTATGTTGAACTATTTTAATTTATATCTGCGGAAATGAGAATCAGCTTGTATTAAGTATTAAACAAATTATCATATGACTGCAACATTGATTTATCTTTACAGGATCATGACGACAAAGAATTAAATTATGCACTAGTTAGATTAGTGCGCAGTTTAGGATCTTCACAGACAGTTACGAGAAAAGGAAATTACAGCACATTAACAGTTTTCTTAATGATGTATCCTGAAATTTCGATAGAAAAGCTTTTATCCATAACGAATACTCAATTGCAGCCAATTGGACAAAATTCTAAAAGTGTATGATTTTTATTGTAACTTTCTTATTTCAAATTTTTATTGTTATTTTATGATATTAAAATAATAATTAAAATTTTTTTATAGGAGAATGCTGATATATACATGGGACGTTTACTACTATGTGGTGCATTAATAAGATCCAAGTTACTGATTAAAAGTACCACTGAGATACAACAACAGATCATTGAAATTCTTGTGAATGCTGGCAAACAACGCAATTATCTATCATTTATCTCTGTCATGTTTCTTCGTGAGTTTATTATTCAGCTTGATGTAGAATCTATGGAAAAAGTTGCTTGGTCGATTGTTGAGAAGGAAATTGGCAAGCCATGGCCTGAACAAACTTTGGATACATTTTATCTACTACTTGTTATTGGAGATAAATATCCATCTCTACTTAATCATAAGTTTTTAAAGGAGCACTTTGGTGTGAAAAAGATTATCTCTAAAGAGACGATGGAAGATATTGTCAAAATATTAACGGTATGTCATTAGGGAGATCTGAATTTTTAACAAAGATGAAAACATATTTGAAACATTACTTTATAATTAATAATTTTTCTATTATTACAGACTTTACCTAGAATTTCTTCTTATCAACATCCAGTGTTCAAGTTATTTTGTGAAAAGTTAATATTGACTGAATTTATAGCAGACTTTTGGAAAGCCATTGATAAAAATTTACAAAACCATCAAAGAGTGATGAATATATTGCCACAGAAATGTTACGACTCTTACTTTCTAATATCACAGATAAAACTGTAATTCCATCATTATTATCACCAAATCTCTTGCAACACATGTTAAAGCGATTTTCTAATTGTAAAAGGAATAATAATGATGAAGTTTTAAAAGCGTTTAGAAAAGTTTTAGAATTGGTGATATCTGCTACAAATGATAAAGATATGAAGACAAAAATACAATTAAATATATTGAAGAAACTCGTATTACATCCTGGTGATTTAATGATAGAAAAGAAAACAAGTATTAAAGTGATCCAAAAAATTACAGCAAATTTAAAATTAGATGGTGTTAAAAAGTTATGCCAATTATATAGAGATATTATAGAAAACAAAACAATTAAAGAAAGAGAAAATATGAAAATGGAATTGTGGACAAATGCTGAGCGAAGTTATGCAGCACAATTATTAACAAGGTAAATACAAACTTAAGATAGTTAAATAACACAAAGAGTGGCAATACTTTATTATGAGCAAGTAGCTTAAAATATAACTTAATATCTGTTGCATTAAATACATGTCTATTAACTTTAGATTGATAGGCCATCGAGAGATACTCTTAGATAAAGAATGGAAGCTTGCACAGCTGATATTTTTGTTCAATTATGGGTTGTGTGAAGTGTCAAATGTTGGAATAGAATTAGCATGTAAGTATTTTATATTTTTACAAAACTTATTGTTTATTTATATATGCTAAAATATATTTAATTATTATTTTTAGTGCAATTTAAAAATTCTTTTTATCGTGCTTTGGATCATAAATTGCCAAAGTTGGACAATGTGCGTAATTTATTAAGTGCACTCGTTCATGATGTGAACTCCAAGTTACTATCTAATGTGATACAATTAAGATCACCATTGAATGATGCAGCATCCAATGCTTGGAAAAGAGCCATAGATTTGATTGAGAAATTGGAAAAGAATACGAAAAATGCAATTGCTTTACCAATATTTCATACAATGAATTTACATATGAGTCTACAATTATTCTCAGATCCTGAAATGGCAATTATGTCAATTAATGAACTTCAATGTTGTTATGAGAGATTAATTAAAAAGTCCAAGGAGCATAAAAAGCTCAATGATGTATCTACATCAGAAGAACCACAATGGGTTGAAGTTATAGTTGATCTTTTATTATCTCTTTTATCCAGGAATAATCATTTATTGCGTTCATTAGTTGATAGTGTGTTTCCACATATCTGTCCATATTTGACTCCATCTGCTGTTCATCAGATATTGGCTGTAAGTTGTTACCTAATTAATAAGAAAAGAGTAACTTATTTATAATTTAAATCAAGAAAGTAAATGCATGTAACATTTTAACTTTTATATTTTTTAAGTTAGTCTGATTGTTTTATATTTTGTTTTAGGTACTAGATGTAAAAAATAATCAAAATCCACTTATCGCAAAGCAAAATGATAATGAAGATTCCTCAAGTATGGAAAGTGAATCAGATAATGAAGAGAAAGAAAATGCTTTAAATAGTGAAGATTTATCAGAAGAAAGTGGATCCGAGTCTAAATATATAAATAAAGATGAAAATGATGAAAATAACGATAATAATGATGATGATAAGGAGGATGATAACGATGATGATGATGACGATAACGATGATGATGACGATAACGATAATGATAACGATGATGATGACGATGAAACAGTAACTGATAAAGTAAGAATGGCAGTACGTCAAGCTCTAGGTGATGCTGCAACTCAAACTGATGATGATGATGATGATATTGACGTAGATAAAATAGGTGAAGAAGAAGGCAAACGTTTAGATAAATCGTTAGCAGCAGCTTTCAAGCTTTTACGAGAAAATCGTCAAGGTCGTTCTAAAAAACAAGAAAAAACAAATGAAGCATTGACACATTTCAGAATTCGTGTTATAGATTTGTTGGATATTTATTTAGGGACTTGCCCATCTATGGCAGTTGCTTTAGATATGATTGTACCGCTGTTTGCTCTCTTAGAATTTTGTATAAAGGATCCACATCAGCAACCACTTAAACATAGAGTTCAGACTTGTTTAAAAAATTATCAACGACAAAGAAGTTTGAAGATACAACAGGTGTTGATGATATTTTGTTAACTACAGTACTGAAGGTAATTATTTGTATTATTTGTAATAATTAAATATAAATTATAATTTGCTGATTAAATATTCTCTTTAAGGCTGTAATCGAAAAAGGAGAGCGATCTGCTTTGATCTGTCAAGAAATAAATGAAAATGTGGCAGAATGCTGTACCTTTCTTGTAAAATGTATACAACAAGCAAATCTATCAAGCAAAAGTGTTATAGAAATTTATAGCAGAAACTTAACTACATTCATGAGAAGAAGGGACTGCAAACTTTCGCTTATATTATTTAAGAGTGTTTTGCAACTGTGCTGGGAAGATAATTGGCAGCTAGCACTTTTATTGGTATGTTTGTTAAAGAGATATGTCTGTCAATATGAAATATATGTTGTTATAATATTTTATTTTATTTATTTAGGTAAACTCTGCGTTTGATAGCAATATTCGATATTTTCGTCGAAATCAGGCGCTTGAGTTATTAATAATTTTATATAGGAATAATCGTTTGTTGAATATGGATACAAACTATACCGACGTGAGAATAAAATTAGAAACAATGCTTTGTGAAAATATCATAGACTTATGCAAAGAATTATGCAATGCACGTGTAAGCGATAATGGACGATTTATTTCATATAATGATACCAGTGTACAAAAGAAGGTTCTACAGAAATTTGTCTGTCTGCTCTTCACACTGTTACAAGTTGTTTATGCACATCATTTGCCACAAGTGTGGAATTGGCAAACCATTAAGATGACACTTGTAACAATGTATGAAAACCAAAGCATTTTTTCTACGGAATTGAAAAGTGCATATAAAAAGTTTGCTATACAGATAGGAATTTCACTCAATGTGTAAGTGCAAGAATATAATTTATAACTTCTAGAGATTTTTATTTTTATATTCATATTTATATTCAGTTTAAAAGCTTTGTATTGTTTAATATTTATATATTCAATATTTATAATTTTTGTCATCAGGAAATCAACAAAGCAAATTAATCAATCAAATGGCTCAACTGATATTGCTTTACAAAATAAGGGAAAACAAAATAATGTCACATCTCAAAATGGAAAAATCAGTGATTCAGAAGAAGAAAAAGAAACTGTACATAGTAAAAATGTACAAAAGAAGAAAAAGAAAACAAATACAAAGGAGAAGCAATTATTAAAGAAAGAAGCACGTGAATTGCGTGGAAAAGCAATGTCTAAAGATTTAGAAGTGTTTAAATTTAGCACTGTCAATTTACTAGAAAATGACATAAATAAGATGGAAGTTAGTCAAAATGGACATTCAAGTGAATATAACAAGTCCACGAATTCAAAATTAATACAAAAAAGAAATGGTGATAATGCAGTGGAGAAAAATCGTGAACCTAAAAAAGAAAAAGAAGTATCAGTTCTGTTTAATATGACTTTAGATTTGTCAATATGATAAATGATATAAAATATTTGAGAGAATATATGAAAATTAAAATAAATGTATAAAATATATCCGTTTATTTTGATTTTGACAAAATATATTTTTATATGTAAAATATCTGTGTATATATATTAAAGTTAAAATTGTTGCTTTATAAAACAAATGCGTAATTAGCATCATTTCGAAATTTCCTTATCTGTAAAGCAAAACTAACAATAAGTCGAGAACTTTTTTATCTATGTCATTACTATTTTAATGATCGATTTCTACCATTTTGTATATCTTTGGCATTTTTTCACATTAGAAAAAATCAAATATATTATATGTGTTGTGCTCTCAATTATTTTATAATCATATTACACATAATATTTTGTATTAATCTACTTTTAATTTATAGGGTAAAATTATTCTAATGACAAATCTTTTTTTGATATATGACTTTGTACAGAGAGGAAGGAAAAATGTATAAATGTAATCTATCAATTTCTGATTCAATTCTATAAGATAATTCCATTCCTATATATATATATATATATTTCCTTAGTAATTCATTAATGTGATTTTAATTGTGTTGTTAATTAGCAAACGCAAATGATTTATATGACTACTTATAAAACTACTTATAAAATTCTCAAGAAATCATCTTAACTATTAAATAGCCATTTAAGAAGCGGAAGTCGTCAAATGTCACTAGTAATTTAATCAAGAGGATATAGAGCACGCGCAAATGCAAACAGTGTAATCTCGGAGTTCCTAGATCTTTTATTGTCATGTGCAGTGGAGATGGAAGCGTGACTCCGATTGAAACAGTTTCGCACTTCGTAGCTTCATTCCTTTCGTGCATAAACATCATTCGGCGGTATGTTGCGTGTGCTGAGGAAATTTCAACACTTCCGGTGTTTCTCATCCGCGGCTTTGCCAGCACCAGATGTAAATCCGCCGATTTTATATACTGGCGTAAGTATTGAAATTCGCGAAAGTGCCTAAAAATAGTGTATAAAAATATATGTATGTAATTGTACATACCTTACAATTGTACAATAATTTACGGCATATTACAAACGAATCCTGTTTATCTTAGTAACGGGTTATCATATATAAACTCTCTGGAGGTCAATTGTGTAATTTTTTCTAAAGTGGAAACGTGAAAAGTGAAAAATTTTCGCCAATTACGCATTAATTTTAAAAGAAAATCGATGTGTGATTGGAAGAAATTTGTCACATTTTTACTTTAGAAAAGTTACACAATCGAAGCCCTGATATAACTCGGAGATAATATGCATTATTTGCCAGAGCAATTTATTTTGTAATGAAATAGAAAATATTGGAAGAGGGTTAGAAAAAAAGAGCATACTATATATCGTATCATTAAAAAAAATATCCATGATATAGAAGAATATATACAGGGTGTTATAAAAGTACCGGAACAGCAGAATAACTCTAAGATCACTATCAGATAGCCAGGAAAAAATCATAAAAACCCAGTACTTAGCATTTTTCTAGGACTCATATTTTTCGAGTTCGTCTGCTATTCTGGTATTTTTATAACACCCTGTATACGTACGTGAATAATATATATATATATGTGTGTGTGTGTGTGTGTGTGTGTGTGTGTGTGTGTGTGCGTGTGCGTGTGCGTGTGTGTGCATTACGCTTATTAATTATTGTATATACATAACGTACAAAACTTTTTACTAAAAAACACGAAATTTTAAATAAATTCATTTTTATTATCGTACACACATTACTCATGTATTTTTAAAAAATTATATTTATTCGAAAGAAGAATAGTTTTTTATAATTTAGATTCCAAAATGCATTAATTTATATCTGTATAATGATTAAATATTTATATATATGAACAATGTTATCACGCATAAAAGAATAATTTTTGAATAGAATGTTTAGTGTATTTTGAAATAAATATATGCATGGAACAACGAGAAAACAGGCCGACGTATTTCCGATCTGATATAATTGTCGCTTAAAATACATAAAACATGAGAAAATTCATACGAATATCTATATATATACAAAACAACTTATTTGCTTCCATTATCATTTCAGATAACTTGAAAACATTGTAAAATTGTCTAGTCATATAAAGTCATCAAAAAAATTTTTTTTTTAATGTTTAGACGTTTTTATGTTTATTTATAATTTATGATGATGTAAAAACAGCTAATAAGATTTTTTTTCGATATTTATAGAAGTTGTTCTTTATTGGATTAAAAACAAAGAGAAAAAATAGAATTTTGCGTTTATTTTATTACACAATGATTATGACGTTTTTCATTATTAAACTTTTATGTAGTTCTCAGATAATACAGGATGCTATATAATTAAGTTGACCATAATGATTTAAATTAAAATAATATATCTAAATTTACATTTTTTATTTTTCAAATTCTATTTTTTTAATTATTCTGTATGTAAATCGAAATCTTATTTAAAATTTAATTTAGGGAAAAAACGTTTTTTGAAATAAATAATGTAAAAAGCTGAGTAAAAAAGAATATAAATATTATACATATAATTTACATACATTAAATTATTTCTATATATATATATAGTAAGTCTCTATATATAAAAAGTGACCACATACTTTACATGTCGATTATAAATATCTAGTATACATATTATTACGCATAAACAAATACATTTTTCGTTGCAAGAAAAAAAATTGACAGCAGATAGATGATCTCTCAAAAATATATACACGTCTATTAAATACATTTTTTTAAACTGGTGTCATTTGAGAGATCATCTATCTGCTGTCATAAATTTTTTTCTTGCAACGAAAAACGTATTTGTTTATGCGTAATAATATGCATACTAGATATTTATAATCGACACGTAAAGTATGTGGTCACTTTTTCATTTTTTAAGGATAATAAATCATAACACTAATCAAGTTCGAATTTATTAATTCAGGGGATAGTGATTTGATGAAAAAAAACTTTAAAAAAATTATTTTATTAGAAAAATAGAAAAGCAGCAATTTAATATTTATATGTGCTAGAAGATATTTTACAAAAAGAAATATAAACAAAATCTATTTGATTTTGTTCAATTATAGTCACTTTTGTATTTCAATAATTGTTGTGAAAAATCGAATTACTGATATTTTTTTATTTGAAATAATCAAAGCATAGTCATATTACATTTTTTGCTCTATAATATGTATATGTATATGTATAAAGTTTATCGTTATATGAAAAAAATATTTTTTATTTTATTACAGATATTTATCAATAATGACTGGCATAAAGCTAAAAGTGAAAAGACATTTCCCACCATCAATCCTGCTACTGGCGAAGTAATTGCCGAAGTACAAGAAGGTGATAGCGCGGACATTAATTTTGCTGTACAAGCTGCTAATAAGGCTTTTAAAAGGAATTCACCATGGAGAACTATGGACGCATCTGAGCGAGGAGTTCTTTTAAATAAATTAGCAGATTTGATAGAACGTGACCATAAATATCTTGCGGTAAAATATTATCATACATATTTCAATAATATAATATTCTCTTTCTCTCATATTTATCTTTATTAGAATAATAGAAAATATAGCAAATATTTTATAAAATATTGCAAAAATTTTTCGAAAAAAGCTTGAATCGAAAATAATGAGTGTTTGAACTCATCTGAGGATACATGTCTCACTTTCTTCTTCTCTATATATATATTTTATATATATAGAAGCAATTAGTAAGTACTCTAAAAGGATTAAATTTCATCGATAAGATACGTAATCACTATAATCAAACTGTATCGCTATGCACATCTGGCAATTTTCTATCATTTTGATATTCCGAAAAATAAATCGATTAATATGATTTACGATGTACATAATTCATTAATCAATTATTATGATTAATATTGTCTCTCGATGTAGCCACGCGTCCGCCAGTCCAAAAACTGCTAATTTTCAAACTGTCTCGAGTTCTTTTTATGTGAAAAGTAGATTTGAACCATTAATTGAGAAGAAAACGCGTAAATGAAAACTTAATTTAAGATTTCTTTTAAAAAATTTTTAATAATTTAGAAAATTATTTTATAAAAATATTTAAAAAGAAAACTATATAGTATGATGCTATCAATATATGAAATGTAAAATAAAAAATGCATTGATACTATATATAAAATATTAATTTGAAATAATATTAAGTAAAAAAATGCTTTCTAATATTTTTTTTATTTTAATCTTTCTAACTTTTTATCTTTCTAACTTTGACATAAGAAAGATTAGGTCAAATAGCGGTCAAATAATAAAATTGTTATGATTGATTAAAACAAATATGTTTTGTTGTTCGCAATTTTAAGATATAATCCTAACGATAACTTTCAAGATCAACGATATCAATCACACTGTTTTCAATGATTACTTAAATACATCAAATAAATTACTAATTAAATATATATGTATAATTATATATAACATCGAGATTATATAATTGTAATAATTAACACGTGAAACGTTATGAATCTTAATTATCATCGAAAACAGAAAAGCGGCAAAGTCGAAATAAAATAATTGCAAGATTATAATGATATTCCAAAACAGCAAATTGAAATAATTGAACTTTCAAAAAATGTTTGATTTTTTTACGAATAATAATTCTATTATCTTTATTATGTATTTCAGTCTTTAGAAACTTTAGATAACGGCAAACCTTACTCATCTGCATACCATGTAGATGTTCCCTTTAGTATTCAAGTGCTAAGATATTATGCAGGATGGGCTGACAAGAATCATGGAAAAGTTATACCAGCTGATGGAAAAGTTTTTGCATATACTAGACACGAGCCAGTAGGAGTATGTGGTCAAATTATTCCATGGAACTTTCCAATGTTGATGATGGCTTGGAAAATAGGACCAGCTTTAGCTACAGGTGATCATAAATATACAAATTATATATTTCATTACATTAGTAATTAATAAAATGTTTTCAGTATCTTTGATGATATAAGAGAGTTCTTTATAAAATAATTAAATTTTATTATTTTATCTTTTTAGGAAACGTTGTCGTTTTAAAACCTGCAGAACAGACTCCGTTAACAGCACTTTATATAGCACAATTGACCAAAGAAGCCGGATTTCCTGACGGAGTAGTCAATGTTGTTCCCGGTTTTGGTAAAACTGGAGCAGCATTAGTAACTCATGATAAAGTTGATAAAATCGCATTTACGGGATCTACAGAAGTTGGACAGTTAATAAGTCAAAATGCTGCTATACACAAATTAAAAAGAACTACATTAGAATTAGGTGGAAAATCTCCTAATATTATTCTTAAGGATGTCGATTTAAATCAGGCAGTAGAAGCAGCACATTTTGGATTATTTTTTAATATGGTAATTTATGACATATAATTTCCTGCTTTATTTGAATTTTTTATTCTTTCTTTGATGTTACACTTATTTTTTTTAAATTTGTGCCAGGGTCAATGTTGCTGCGCAGGATCTAGAACTTTTGTTCAAGCAAATATTTATGATGAGTTTGTAGAAAAAAGTGCGCTTCGCGCCAAATCTAGGACCGTGGGAGATCCATTTGATTTGAAAATAGAACAAGGCCCACAGGTATATCCGAATTCAGTAACAGATATTTATAGAAATTAATTTTTATATAAAATTTTAATTAATATTATTGTTATATATTTAGATTGACGAACAGCAAGTAAACAAAATTATGGATTTGATAAAATCCGGTAAAGAACAAGGTGCTAGTTTAGTAACAGGTGGTGAACGCATTGGCGATAAAGGATACTTTGTCGCTCCAACAGTATTTGCAGATGTTAAAGATGATATGACTATAGCTAAGGAAGAAGTGAGCATTAAAATCATAATTTTATTATTGTAAAAATGATGATGGAAAACACGTTCATTAAAAAATCCATGCGACTCTCTTGTAGATATTTGGTCCGGTTCAGCAGATCTTAAAGTTCGATGATTTGGACGAAGTTATTGAACGTGCTAATAACACCGATTATGGATTAGCTGCTGCAGTCTTCACAAAAGATATTGACAAAGCAAATTATATAACGCAGGGTCTTCGTGCTGGTACTGTATGGTAAGTTGTATAAAAATATCATAAAGAATGAATCGTTATGAATGTCTAAAAAACAAGATTTAAATTAATCTCATTGTTGTGTTAATTTTTATGTAGGGTCAATACGTACAATGCTATTATTTCTCAAGTTCCATTTGGTGGTTATAAAATGTCTGGACATGGAAGAGAACTCGGAGAATATGGTCTTCAGGCGTATACAGAGGTAAAAAGTGTAATCGTTCAAATGAATGAGAAAAATTCGTAAAAACTGTACTAATGTCTCTGCGCAACAATTTTTTAAAGACAACCATTGTTTTACTTAAAGAAAATTTTTTACATAATTCTAAGATGTATTTTAGGTTTTAACTATTTTTCATAGAATATATTTTTGCTACAGAAAGAGGCTCATTTTTACTACAAAAAAAGACTGTAATATTTCTATTATAATTGCAATTTATACAATTGTATTATTACATATTACATACATGTACAAAAATACAACAATAATTTAAAAATTAAAACTATATATAAACTAAAAAAATTAGTAAGTTAACTTGACTAAATTTTAATCTAACTCTTGATGTAAGTAAAACGAAGCAATTAAATAAATGTATTGCACATTTTGTCAAAATATGAATGTTTTACAGTGCTACATTATGTATATTACAGCATTGCACTATTTTTCTCTTGTTCTTAAATTTTTTCATATTTATATTTACACTGAGTACAACGAGCATTATAAGGAAGATTTAATTGAGTAAGTTATTACGCAATACTTAGTAAATTTTGCTATTATATGCTATGTTATAAAATCTCTTCTAACTTTTATTATGCAGTGCATTTATGTAGATACATTACAAATAACATTTGTTTCTAATGGACACATTTCGTCTTCTTTTAAATCTTCTTTGCAAAAGCGAGATATAATGCTTGCACCAAGTGCATCGCCTATAATGTTGATAGTTGTTCTAAAACGATCACTGAAAAATAATAAATTTTCTTGTTATTAAATATAGATAATTAATGAAATTTATATTTCAAAAAAATTTATATTTTTGTCTATCTTCTGTTTAAAAAAGAGAAAAAATATAATGTAAAAAAATAAATAATAACATCATATGATATACTTACACAAACCAATCCGTAGCAATAATCAATGTAACATCTTCAACGGGTACTCCTATAGAGTTTAATACCATTATTAACATCATATAACCACCACTAGGTATTCCAGCAGCGCCCACACACGATACTGTGCATGTAATACTGAAAAGAGAATAACGAAATTATGTAAAATATAAAATTGTAGGCAGAAAATACATACATATACAATTTTATTTTATTTTTAAATTTTATGCAAAGAATATTCTCCAAACATTGTGTCAGAGTTCAATTATGTCTATTTTCTTATTACCAACCTGATAATTATTATTTTAAATAATGAAAATTGCAATCCACGTAATTGTATAATAAATATCGCTCCAATGGTTTCATACAGGGCTATCCCGTCCATATTTATTGCTGCTCCAATTGGTACAAGAAACTTTGTTATTTTAGAATTTATTCCAAGATCTTCTAAACATTGTATTGTATATGGAACGGTGGCAGTGCTAGATTATATATAATTTTGTATAATTAAAAATTTTATGAAATTAAAAAATAAGGTTTTCTCAAATTTTTATAACGTCAATTATTTTTATCTTATGTTTTTACCTTGACGATGTTCCAAAGGCTGTTGCAAAGGATGGACCAAGTTTGAATATAATTTTATAAGGTGATTTACCTGTGATGATGTAATGAAGGAAGGGTAGTATTACAAAACCTTGTAGTATTAGACCAATAAACACAGTTAAGATGTAAAATCCTAAATGGCTTATCACATTACCAAAATCATCGATTTCTAGAATTCGACCAGCAATAAGAAATGATGCGCCTATCGGTGCTATTCTAAACAAAAAAGTTTATTGTTATTAATGCATGCAATCTATTGTATATATATAATACATATTTTATAATTATTTATTATTAAATATGTTAAAAAGTTATATAAAGATAATTTTATCTCTAATAGTAATAATATAATATAGTATGATGCATACAATGTTATCCATTTTATAATATTCATCATAACATCAGCCAGGCAATTGAAAAAATCTGATAATGGTTTTCCCTTTGTACCTATATTTCCAATTGCTAGACCCAGTAATAGACTATGAAATACTAAACCCAAGACATTTGTTCCTGCTGCATTTTCGCTTGTTATAGACCATTCTTCTATTGGTACTATAATATATTAAAACAAATCTCCTAAGATTAGCTTTAAAACATCTTTGTTGAAATATATATTTTAAATAACACAAAAAATATATATCATTATCAAATACATATCATTTTAATATCATTTATTTACATATCTTTAAAGCATCACATTTATACAAATCTTTCTAATTGTATCTCAAAAATTAATTGAAATAAAGCGTTACAATAAGTTTATTAAAATACAAAATACAAAAAGCTATAAAAAAATTAAAACAGCCAATGTTTAACACACATTGGGCAGTACCTGTATTTGCATTGGCTGGTTTTTCCAGGACAGTTTGATGCTGTAGTGAAAAAAAATATATATATACTTTTTAAAGTAATTACAAATCATATATTTGCATATGATTGTAAAGCAACATACCTGATACATGCATGCAAGTATTAGATTTTCGGGGAATAAATTACTGTAAATATAAAAAAGAAATATATATATTTTGTTACAAATTAGATTTTCATTATTCTACAAAGTATTTTTGAACACTGGTGGTAAAGAACTTGTCTTCATCATGTTTTATAAAATTAAACTAGAATATTAAAGCGTGAATTTGTTCCTTATTTATATCTAAATGTTTTTGTCAATGTATTAAAAAAATTATAATTTTATATGTATATATATTTTTTCCAATTATCTCTTTTATGTCTTTTATGTCCGAAAAATCGCCTGAATTAATAAGAGAATATATTTTACAAAGAGGTGGTAGTTCGTAGTGCAGCAAAAATGTCTACAAATTCATCTTAAGTTAACAGGAAAATATATTTTGCAAAGAGGTCTTTATTAGAAGAACATATTTGCGAAGAGGTATGTCAATAATGACGGTCGGTAAATTATTAACGTTGGTAAGTTACCATCGGTAATTACCGACATCGATACCAATCTTACCTCTTTGCAAAATATGTTCTCCTATTAACTAAAATGAATTTTCGGACCTTTTTGCTGCGCCATGAACTGCTACCTCTTTGCAAAATATATTCTCCTATTAACTCAGACTATTTTTCGAGCATATTAAAAGACACATTCGTGAAATGCATTAGCAACTAACTCTTCGCAAAATATATTCTCCTATTAATTCCAATGATTTTAATTGCTTATCTTCTTGCAAAATATATTTTCTTTGAAAAACTAATTAAAATTTATTGCAGCTTGTTTCTCACTACATTATGTTTTATTTTAAATAATTGTACTCGCGAGAATATATTAAAAATTATAAAGAGATGGTAGTTCGTAGTGCAGCAAAAATGTCTGCAAATTCATCTTAAGTTAACAGGAAAATATATTTTGCAAAGAGGTCTTTATTAGGAGAACATATTTGCGAAGAGGTATGTCAATAATGACGGTCGGTAAATTATCAACGTTGATAAGTTACCATCGGTAATTACCGACATCGATACCAATCTTACCTCTTTGCAAAATATGTTCTCCTATTAACTAAAATGAATTTTCGGACATTTTTGCTGCGCTATGAACTGCTACCTCTTTGCAAAATATATTCTCCTATTAACTCAGACTATTTTTCGAGCATATTAAAAGACACATTCGTGAAATGCATTAGCAACTAACTCTTCGCAAAATATATTCTCTTATTAATTCCAATGATTTTTCAAGCGTATTGATAAGACGCATATAATATACTTGTTTTAATTGCTTATCTTCTCGCAAAATATATTTTCTTTGAAAAACTAATTAAAATTTATTGCAGCTTGTTTCTCACTACATTATGTTTTATTTTAAATAATTGTACTCACGAGAATATATTAATTTTAATTTTAATATAGTAGTGAAAAAACTAACAATAAAATGATAAACGGAGACTTCATTTAATTATTGCAAACTAATTGAATTTATTTAATTACCGAAATAAATCTAGAATTGTGTCGACTGCCATAAAGGTTTTTGTAGATGTCGATACAGTTATGTTTTCACTTCTCATCAATTCACCCGGTCGAATAGTCTCAACAAGTATAACACATAAAATTATTCCAATTGTAGTAGTCGTTAGATAATAATATAATGCCATCAATCTAATTGGTCCTATGTAATTATAATATATATTCTAAAAAATTAAGTGTTATATTTTCTAAAATTAATTTTTTTTAAATACGAAAAATATCTAGAAATTGTGTATTTAAAAAAATGATCAGCATATACTTACCAGATTTACTGAGATTACAAGTAGCACTTATAATGCTGGATGTAATAAGCGGTAATATTAAAAAATTCACCATTCTGAGAAATATCTCTCCAGGAAATTTGATATACATGATATCTCGATCAGACCATGATTTTCTGGTATAATGCTTCAGACTCATACCGCATATTATTCCAGCAGTCACACCGACTATTGTTGATATTATAAGTTTATGTTTTGATAGGAAAAGCACTAAATTGTTCATTGTAGTTGATTTTATAAGCGTGCTATATTATAACAATAATATGACTAAAATTAAATTTTGTAATTCAGAAAAATCGTGAGATGTTATGTAATGAATGTTTTAAAGAAGCAAAATGACTGGCCTACAGTTAGTATTTTTTTATAAATCTAAATCCATTGTTTCTATAGCAACATCCGCGTTTAGCTCTTCACGCCTTCTTATGATTTAGATTTATATTACAGAGCCTGTTATTGAAACTTAGTATTTTTTTATTTGATTAAAGTGAAAAATCAGTAATAGATCCAATTTTAAATTTACTTACCTCGTATATAAATTCGCGTATCACTTTTGTTTTATTTCCACACTACAGATTAAAGTAAAATAAATAAAGATAAAATAAAAACTTGACTCATATAAATTAATTAGATAAATTATAATTAATTATAAATAATTATTCACAAAAACTACTTGAGTTAAAGTAGACTTGAAGAGTACTGAGCAATATATCAAGAAATTCTATCTCAAAAGATTTTATCAAGATATATTATCTAAGACAAGAAGCTTCTTTATCAATGTTTCATTTTAACAAGTTCACTTGACAACTGGACAGACACTATCTTAATATTGGTCGTAAAATTTACAACTTTTCTTCACTTTTTTCTTAAATCAAAAACGTTCGAACAAGAACTAGTATGTTATACACCTTACATTAATTTGATCCAGTTGCTGATATCAATAATAAAAAACTTTGATAAGATACACGCAATAGGTGTGTCAAGAAAATGTCAAGACAGTTGAACAGTGATATATGTCAAATAACATAACAGGATAATTAGGAAATAGCTTTGAAGCTATTATCTTATTGTGTTATTTTACACACACATACATATATATAAACAAGTAACTATTTGGATAAAAATGCCATCATTATTATAATATACAAAAAATTAAATAGTTTTATTATCGCGATCTATATGACAATGTATTTATATATTTTGCATCATTCAATTTAATAATAAGTTAAATCTATTTTTTAGGAATATAAGATAGATGTATTTTTCGTGATGACATCATTATCACAAATCATCTCACTATATCTTGATAAATAGGATTCATTTATTATGCAGAAAACCGGTTCTAACAGTTGCAATAAAAAATAAATCGTTTTTAATTGCGTTTAATATTTCCTAGTTTTATTTATTTCGCACCTATTACAGTATAATAAATATGTTGCACGAAACATTACGAGGGATTTGTATTTACACACGTTCCTCATTTTCAGGCCATAATTTTACGTATTTGTAATGAGTACATAATATCATACTCTATCATCTTTAATTTTTTTTCTCAATATAATTTATACATATCTATACAATTTCTTCGGTTTAAAATTATCCATTAAAAGATCACATATGCATTCCGTTTGCATCCAGTCTTCTGAAGAAATTTTCGTTAAACTTTACCATCTAATCTGACATTAACATTACGGCTAAGATTCCTTTTTTCTTTATTCTCAAAATTTTAATTTTATAAGTATATATATACAGTATATATATCTCTCAAAAGCTTTTCAATTTCTTGTCATAACAAACTTTAGCAAATTAATAAATTTTTACTTCCAATTGCTAGTCAAAAATTTGCAACAGAAGAAGTAGTTTGTTCTCTAAGCTCAATTTAGAGATTGAGGAGCATTTATGATATATATACTGTATATAATAAGTATTTACATACAAATATATACATACATCCAATATGAATATATGTATATGTGTATGCATGTATTATATTAGTGAGATCAGTAAATAATTTCGTTAACGTTATGTTTACAAAGTCATGTTTCATGAGTTTATATATCTATGTCTACATACTTTCCCTATGCAAATTAATATTTGGTTTTGTGTGCTACGCGATTTAAATTTTTCACGCTATGTCAGAATATTCATTCTTCCTCCTCCCTCTTATTCCTCCTTTTTATTCGAGGTAATTTGATTTTGCTCAAATAAACCGAGAAAAATTTATTTATTGACTTTCGCTTCTTATTCGCAATAGATCGCCATCCACGGTGTTGACTTCTGGTTCTTCGCCGAGACAATCCGTAATGTACAGCCTGTAAAATATATTAATATATTTTTTATATAATACTCTGTGTAGCTCTTAATACAAAAATTGTCTAATTTTGATTTTATTATTACATGTGGCAACACAAAATGATTACTCAAAAATATTTAAATAATTTTTGTGTATCATAATTGCTCTGCTTTACTTATTTAAAAAATAACCTTTTAAAATTTCAGAATATATGTATATCTCTCTTATAAGAAATAAAATATCAACTACATTTGACGAAATATTTTTCAGATAACTTGAAGTGTTATCAAGACATTTGTTTTTTTGTAAAGTTATAGCGTTTATTGCAAAGCTTTTCTTAAATATTACTACACAAAAATGGCAAATTATACAAAATTATTAATGAATAAAAAATAAATAACAAGTAATACCTGTCCCTACAAGGGTGTTTCCTTGCGCGCTTCTGCCTTCCACTGGAATCCGTTTGCACGTGTTGTAATAGGCTTATTTCTATTCGTAGCATTCTCAATTCCATTTCTAACTCCCGCTACTAATCTCATGGCTGGATTGGATACCAAGCCATTACGCTTTGGTTTTAAATTACCTGCGCTGAAATGTAATATAGTAATATTTTATTAAACGTTTACAAATAATATATATGTATATATTATCTCGTTTTGTCGAAGAGTTGACGTGAAAAGTTAAATGCAAGTTAAAAAGAGAAGAAATAATATATATGTACATTAAGATTTTAGAAAAAAGTATCTTTCATTATATAATATATGTATATCGTTAATATGTCTGTGCTTCTGATCAGCTATACATTTAATGTAATCAATTAAATACATAGTATGATATATATGTCTAACATTGTCGTATGTCCTCCTTGACTACATATTCTATCTTTTTTCACTCGGGAGGGTTGAAAAAGGAAGGAAAGCCTATCGCTCATGAAGCGGTGTGTCTTCCTTATACGACCATTGTGATTTCTGCAAAGTCTAAAGAATTGCATTGAAAAAATTAAGATGATAAGTATGCTTAATAAAATTTTAATTGAACAGATGGAATTGTGCACATGTGACTTCTGAATGACACGTATAAACATAAGATGACTGACATGATATCTTGTAGTGCTGAATGTCGTGTGAAAATATGAATACTTGAAATTTGTGATCTCTCATGATCAATGTGGTGCATTTTATAGATGATCGAAAAACACAATTTTGGTGATATTAATTATATGATATGATTGGGGACTTTAGTATAGAAAAATGCTCATGTTATATCAACTCCTTACCTTCCAGGTGTGTGATCGGAAATGTGCTTGACGCTTCTACCAACGCCAGCGCCGCTATTTCCCAGTATTATTCTCATATGAGTGTCTCGCATAAAATGCTTATCGGCTGAATTTCGTTTTTCCTCGTGTCCATTCTCCTTATCCTTTCCAATGCTCAAACCTAACATTTCATTCGTCAATTCAAACGGCTTACTAATGTTATTTCTGTCGATAATTTCAGTTTTGATCTTGATCGGCTCGTAAATCACTGGTATATGATTATATCCTTCCGTTTTGTATGGCATATTTGGATTTGCTGCCATCAACGATACACCTAACTGAGTCTGTATTACACTAGCAGCTGTTTGAGCACTGGGTGGACTCGTGTTTGTAGGCGAATAAGGAATAAGACTGTCGCTTAACGGAGAATGTGGTGGTGAAGCGTATATCGGACTTTGCGGTTCGCTCTTCAAAGGTGACAATAGTTTACTGAGTGGCCGACTTTTTGCTCCTCTTGAACACTGTTGTAGTTGTTGCGTAAAAGATAATGGTGTCTAAAATTATAAAAATTAAATAAGAAATTTTCAATAAACTAAGTAGCTCGTAATATTTTCTTGAAACAAGAAGCAAGAACATGTATGCAAAGTACAAGTAAAATGTTATATTAGAATAGTATATAAAACTTTGCAATGTGGCTTTTAATTTTATTGCCAAATAATATGATAAGCTTAGCAAAATTGCTTCTTCTATTTGTACATATATACTTATCACGTACTTTAATTACCTGACAGTTAATCATCGAGTTTTGGTTGAATTTTCCTTGATCGCTCTTAGTGCTGCCAGTTAAATTACTGCTCGATTTGCTGTTACTCGAATTGTTGCCTAGAGAGACGCAACTGCGTCGTTTAGTGGATTCTGGCGATTCCGCTGGACTGTATTGCGTAGACAGAGGATTTAAGATTGCCGATGAAGGTTTAGTCTCAGCTGTCGAATTGGATGTCACAGAAGTAGCACTACTGCTACCTCCTGAAAAATATAACAATTTATTTTTTCCACTTTTGTTATTCTAACATGTTATAAATCAATGATAAAAGAAGAAATGTATAAATTTTTTTATATATCAAAGATTAAGAAAAAATTCTAAAAAAATAACTTCAAAGTTTATATTTTTTTCTCTCGAATGAAATAGATATTTTATCTCTTTCTTAAAACTCCTAAATTTGATTACAAATGAATAAAAAGAATATTAATTATATGACCTCCATTAACGCCGGGTCTTAAACTGCGTTGATTAGCAGAATGTTCTTCTAATAGTCTAACAACTGTATCGTGACCGCTTTTAGCAGCTACTTTAATGGCATTTCGTCCGCAATGATCGGAATGATTCGGATCAGCTCCGTGATTCAAAAGTGCTCGGACGCAATGTTCATGTCCTTCCTGAGCAGCAATACCTACAAATTACATTTTTCTATCAACTGAAGTAATAAACTCAATTAAAAAAATATTATCGGAATCGTTATTAGTTTTATTCATACAATTAAAGATCATTCATGACTAACTGTACCTAGAGCCGTTGCGCCTTGATTGCAAGTGTGATCGGGAGTAGCACCATGTTCCAAGAGCAGCCTAACGATCGCTGCGTGTCCTTGCCAAGCAGCCGAATGAAGCGGTGTTCTGTTCTCATTGTCACAAGCGTTCACGCTAGCCCCACCATCCGTTAGCAATAAAGCTACCATTTCCACGTGTCCTTGCCAAGCACTTACATGCAATGATGTCCTACCCTGTAAAATACAGATATATTAACCGTTATTAAATTCTGTAACACAACAATTTGTAACAATTATTATATTAAACTTCTTTTTCAAATATGATTAATAATTACTTACTTCTGAATCTCTACTTTCTACATCGGCGCTTGCATGTTCCAGCAGAAATCTCGCCATAGCTAATCTGTTTTCTAATGCAAGTATA